AATCTCAAAATTACTATTATTAAAAAAATAAATGACTAAACATACTATAGTCCATGCAGCAAAAAAATAGTCTTTTGCTGCATGAGTCAGCTTGAGGTGAAAGGTTCTATGTCAGATGAAGGAGATGGAAAAAGACTTGTGGGAGTTGACACATGGATCTTATCTCTTTCAGCTGTTTTGTTTTTACATTTTAAAAACATTTTTGTACTATCTTCGTCATAAATAATTTTATTGTTTTACTTTTTTTAATACAACTTTTATTACTGTGATCCATGTATCAACTTCCACATGTCTCCTTCTATCCCTTTCACCTGATAGACTCTTCTGGCTCAGGCTGACTGGTGTCTACTCTTTCACCACATGGACTATAATATAAATGAAAATTTTAGCCTTCTATTACTTCCTGCTTCATTGGAGATTTTGTTATAAGTTATAAATACTTTCAGGCTTTTCAGTACTTAAAATTTGTAGAAAAACACTAACACTGCCAAAAAATTAGGAAACAAAAGATTTTTGAACATTGAAAAAGTGATTTTTTTTTTAATTTTAACCAAGCTTATACCTGAAAAAACAGCCAAATCATTGGAAAAGTCTTTTCTTAAAATAAAAATATAAAAGAACAAACAATTATATAAATATAAATTTTAAAAGATTTCAATAAAAAGTAATATTGATATTGATAACTAACTTGATGAAATTGTCCTTCTGATACCCCATCTCTATAAAATATAATTCGATTTGGTTTAAATCTTGTAGACTTATAGAACTGAATCAGAAGTTCTTTCACCATGTAGGATAAATCTTGTATAACTTCCTGCCTATGCTGCTGCACTCGAACTGTAGCTGCATACCTACTGGGATGAGCATCCATGCTTCCCACAACCTGCAAATATACACAACATTCTTTTTATAATTATAATTATTATTATTATTATTAATTCATAACATTTTAATGAAAAGGAAATAAATTATCAGTTATTTCAATTTAAAAAATCCAATGATTTGTTAATAATTAAAATTAATTCAAAATTCCATCTGTAACTTTTCAAATATTAAATCTAAAATAACATGGCTCAACATGGAAAGGGAAAAGTTGTTAGTGATCTCAACCTTCACCATTCAGTACCTGTCTCCAGTGTCCCTAACACCCACTTCTTTCTTTTCATCCTCCTAAATTTACTCACTGCTCACAGGGATGGTAACACCCACTTTGGGAACCACTTCCCTAGACCAATGGCAAGGCCTTTCTTTAGAATGTCTCTATTATCAGAACAGATTAACAGTTTCAACAGCAACTTAACAACTGATTCAAAACTGCACAGACAGATGAATCCAAACACAGTGGTACCTGGGACTTCAAACACTTCAGAGTTCAAATGTGAAATTTGACAAAAATTCTCCTTGGAGTTTGAACAATGCTTTGAAGTTCAAATTGTATGCACAGAAAAAATGTGCTTATAGCATAAACACAAATCTGTTGTGTGTTCAAGTTGTCTCTCACTCTCACAATAGCAAGTTTGAGGCTGAAGTTTTAAATACAAAATGTGTATGTTGAACGTTCAGCACCGCTTTCCTGTAAACCTAGAAGTTTGACAATGGTGTTTGGATAGTCAGTGGAATCATGCTCGACATTCCAAACACCGTTGTCAAACTTCTAGGCTTACAGGAAAGTGACACTGAATGTCCAACGTACACGTTTTTGCGTTTAAAACTTTGGCCTCAACCTCGCTATTATGCTTGTGCTTTTTTGATTTATTTTTAGTGTTTATATTGTATATACTTTATTTTGTGTTATTTGTTGATTTTAATAATTTCTTCCTGCGACTTTTCTTTGTTGACAGCATTTGGTCACCCAATACATTTTGTATGCTTTAGTTCAAAATTTCCCAAACAGAACTTTTTAAATCGCATTTGACGTGTTTGAAGTTTAGAAGTATCTTACTCATACATATTACAATATTTTTTTACTGTTTGCACAGCATTATATCCTATTCAAAACTCAAAGCATAATATGCCCAATATGCTTTTTATCTAAAGACATTACAAACTGATGTTATTCAAAAAGATGTGAAGTAAAAAGTTTAAAGTAAGTTTCTGAACAAAGAATGAAATCTCTCACTATCTATATGTTAAGTTTCACAACTATTATAATTAAATCACACATCTATATTAAGATGCTAAAGTCCAGACTGTGCTACCAATAAATGCAATTTTCATTTTATTATACAGTATTTATGTATTTTTTTATTTATGGTTTTTTGTTTTAATTTATTATTAGGGGTATTTAATTGTGTTATTTTTACCTTAAATTATGTGTATTTGCTGTTTAATATAAGTTTATCAAAATAGGTATTGTTCAGGGTCTGGGAATGGATTAATTCACTTTTCTGTTATTTCTAATAAGAAAAATGATTTGGATTTTGAGTGATTAGAAGTTCAAATTCCTGGAATGAATTAAATTTGAAGTACAAGGCACCACTATATCTACTATTATCTTATGCAGATAACTGGTTGATAAGATGGGTTATCTATGTTTAAAAGACAATTTGAAGAGGTGCAGATTATGTAATAGGCTGGGTTATATACAGATTTTAAAAGTTATTAGTCAAATTACTCACAGCAGCAATAGAAGGCTTTTTGTTATCACCAGCAGGTGGATGTGTCACATCAGCACCAAGAAATATCACAGGTTCACCAAATACTTTAGGTCTATAAAATAAAATTTTTTTTACAAAATAAAACAATTTCATATTTTTTTTTATAATAATTTTGTTAATAAATTCATTATACATCAATCTAACTACATAATTTTATTCTAATTATTATTATTATTATTATTATTTTTTTTTTTTTTTNAATTCCATAAGTTTCTGAGGTTTTTTCGGATTCGTTCTAATTCCATTGAGCGGTAGGCTAAAAACTTGACCATGTCGCAATTTGGCCATCTACTTGCATTGTACATTAGAGTTTGTAAAAAAAAAAAATGTTTTCTATTCTATTTACTTATCTATGTATTTTTTTATCATAATAGCATTTTAAGTTTACCTTATGTTTGGAACAAGAATGCTGTTAATACCTCCTAACTTGACATTGATCTTTAGGCATAAATTTGATAATGTTTGAGGAGACGTCTTATTCACATTTTTAGCTTGAACACATTGAGTGGCCATACCCAAAACTGTGTCACCAACACGTTTTACTTCAGCTTAAAATAAGAATTATTTTAAATCACACATATATAATCTTTAAAATATACTAGAAAGATAATACAAAAGACATTTAACATTATACTATAATATGTAACAACAAATTTAAAAACTTAATATATACAGTTTCTAGGTTGGCAAAATCCAACCATCAACCTCCTCGTGGTGCCCACTGGTAACAAGGCCTGAAAACCTTGGCTAATGGTAGCTCTGGTCTCCAACGACAGACTCCGCGACAAGCCAGTTGGAGTATTTTTTGTTGCATCTCATGGCATGCTACTGCAATGGAATTCAAAATAAGGCTATGGCATACCCCGTAGGCAATGTATGACGCTGACATGAAAAATGAACAAGGACTATCTGTTCAAGGATGGAGCAGGCTAAAGAAGCTAGTCTAACAACCTCTTCCTCTTTGATTCCCCACACTCAATATCAGAACAATGACCAGCCGAAGCCAAGAACTGGTCGACACCCTAAAGAACTGTCATATCGCTATAGCCTGCCTGCAGGAAACAACAAGGAAAAGCTCCAAATCAAAGGATATTGGCGAAGGATACAAATTAATCTATCATGGCCAAAGTAAGAAACGAAATGGAGTTGCAACAGCAGTCAACCAGAGATTCTGGGACAGTGTCTCTGCTATCAGTTGAGTCTTTGATCGTAAAATATCTATTACGCTCAGCTATGACTCTATTGTCATGCATGTCATCTCATGTTATGCCCCACAAACTGGATGTCCTGACGCAGAGAAAGATGATTTCTGGGTTAGACTTGATAAGCATCTCCAGACATTTGCTTCAAAAGATTATGTCCTAATTGGCAGTGACCTAAATGGGCATGTGGGGTCCTCTGGGCAGGGATATGCACAATGTCTTGCCAGTCATGGACTTGGGATAGGGTTCCTCTTGCAAGCACTGCAAAACCATGAAGTCCCTAAAGTCTATGTGAAGTGGACCAAAATGCTCTACCACAATGTCACAACCTCTGTCAGATGTCCTGCGGAAATTTCATTACCATTTACAATTAATGTTGGAGTTTACCAAGGATCCGCGCTGTCACCACTGCTGTTTATTTTAAGCAACTGATGATATAGAAGCACCCCACCCATGGTCCCTCCTGTATGCAGTTGATGTGGCCCTTATCAGCAAGACTCAGGACAACCTGCAAACCAAATACAAGAATGAAATGATTGCCTAGAAGAAAACGGCTTACAACTGACTCTTGGGAAAACTGATTACTTGGCGTGTGGGCACTATCAATGTCAGTGGCAAAGAACTCTCAAAAACCACCCAGTTTAAATACCTGGGCTCATTGATTATGTCTGATGGAGACACCCTTCCTAATGCATAGGCATGAGTCAACACGACATGGTTGAAATGGCAACACGTCACTAGAGTCCTCTGTGACAAGAAAATGCCCATTTCACTTAAATCAAAGATCTATAAAACTGTCGTCTGACCAGTGGCGTTGTATGGGAGAGTGCTGACCAGAGATTGCAAGGCATGAGCAAGCTCTTCATGGAATGAAGATGAAAATGCTTCACTGGTCATTAGGACTCACTTGACTTGACCATGTTGTGAAAACAGATGTCTGCAAGATCATGGGAGTGGCACCAATTATTGAGAAAATGTGTGAGACTTGTCTATGTTGGTATGGCCATGTAATCAGAAGCAGCGAAAAATCTGTTGCAAAAATGGCCACCTATCTCAACCCAGCTGGACAACGCTCTCACGGGAAGCCAAGGAAATGCTGGATGGACAGGATAAGGGAAGATATATGGCTGGTGGGTGTTAGCCCGGATAATGCCTTGGATTGAAAGAAGTGGAAATTTGCATGCCAAAAAGCAGACTCTGCACCACAGTGGGACTAACACTAGGACAGAGAGAATATATACAGCTTCTTAAAAAATATCTTCCCTAACTCAGAGTACTATGGAGCATGTTCTACTGCTTGAAATGAAACAACATTTTGACATTGGTTACTTCAGATGATATGCTTGCCATTTATTGAATAAAAATGTTTGTACAAAAAATCACCAATAGGTGGTGCTAGAACTATGCAAATCATGGTTATAAATGTTCAATATGTATGTTCTCCATTTGCAAAAACATGTTTTCCTGCTAAATGCAATGGGTCCTCTTTAATCATGAGAACATGCTGATGAATGCTGTCCTCTAGATCTGACACATATGCACACTTTTCAGAATCGTTCTGGTCCTTCAAGAAACCCATAACCAGAAGTCACATTGGGTGAGATCAGATGAGTGAGGAGGCCAAGCTGTTGGGAAGTAACAGCTGATCACCTGTTCATCTTTGAAAGTCTGCCTTAACTCATGTTAAACAAAGTGAACATGAGATGGTGCATCATCTTGCATGAATATGGTATCCTGAAGGCATCCATGTTGTTGAAGCTTTGGAATCACAAGTCATCAACATGTTATATTAAGATACTGTTCTCCAGTGATGGAACAGGTTTGGACTTTAGTTGCATAGCTCCAGAGCCACCTATCAGTGACTTTTTGTACAAATGTTTTGTATAAATGGTGAGTACATCATCTGAAGTACCTATTGTCCAAATGTTTCATTTCAAGCAGTAGAACACAATTGAGCCTTCTGAGTTGGGAAAGTTATTTTTTTTTTAACAATCCTGAATACACACACACCTATCTATCTATCTGCTTTAATTTATCAGAAAAAAAATACACGCAAATCAGCTACACTGCTAAACTAAACAACATTGCTTTGAATATGAAAAGATAAATATATTAAAGTTATCATTGAACCATTTCGAGAAATCTGTTCAATAAACTTGTTCTCATGTTTGGGTTAGGAAAGCAAGTGCTAATAGTTAGAGTGGCATTTGTCAACACTTTTTTCACATTAAATGAAATAAAATTGTTTTCCATTATTCTTTAAATAATGTAGAAAAACCCTCTAAAAGTACTTCTAAAATTAAACTGAAAATATTTCATAAATACATTCTTACCATATACAGGTGTTTTACCAGGTAAAACTACAACAACAAGCTGAAGACCTTGGAATGTAGATTTGAGGTAGCGAAACATTGGTTCCACCTGATCTGGACCTGTAGCATATTTACAAAAACAAGGTTGTCCAATAATGGGCATACCAGCATCATTACTTATTTTCTGAAGTTGTTGTGTGAAATTCCTGAAATGTATAAAAAATAATTAATCATTTTGTACATTATTTAAATATTTCCAACATGTTGGATTGAAAATATAAATTATTACAAAATTTATAACTATAAAAAAATCATTCAAATAAATTAAAACTTTTCAGGTTTATAAGTATTTATGAAATTTAAATCTATAAAAAAGTTTTAAATATTACAATTAATAAAATAAAAAAAATGTTTTCCTCTCACTCTCAGTGGTAAAATACAACAGAAACAAATTTTGTAATACATGTTATTGTTTTTTAAACTTTCTTTTATGAATTACAGTATAAAAAAAAGGTGTGTATTCATGCACAGATTTACCTCACATAATATAGAATCTTGCATAATCAGGATTCTACTGTATTAATTTTAGCAAAAAGGTGGTGGTGTAACTGTTTATCTTTACGTCAAATTCATTAGTTCAATCTGTTTTTTTTTTTTTTTTTTTTTTTAAGAGTTTGAAAATAAGCCAGTTCATTAGGTTTAAGTTCAACACTTATTATTTTAACTTACCTCAGAGCGTCCTCACGACAGGTTCGCTGTGGTGCAAAACAAGCAATAGCCCACATTCTAATTTCTACCCCAGTATGAAACTGTTTTCCTCTCATATCCCATACACCTTGATTTGGAATAGCTTGTTGTTTAGTCTAAATATAAAATTATAAAAAAAATTTTGAAAAATAATTAATAAAATAGTTTTATTTTATAAATCTATAATTAAAACAAGCATTGAATATTTGTACTTTTTAATTAATTAATAATTAATATAACTAATAATTGAATTTGAAAAATTTTTACAAGGTCAAGTGAAAACAAATTGAGACTTTTTCTTATTGAAAGTAGATCTCTAACAAATTTTGGATGTATATAACTGTAAACAACAATTATTAATGCATCTGTCCAAAACATTGCACAGAAATATGATACTTCACTAAGACACTAGAATGCATACAGTAGATTGTTGAAGTCTATCACAAGTTGCAAAGTTTAGTGATTGAGCTGGGTAACAGATTTCTGTAATCAGTTGTCACATGTGATGAAACTTAACTACATAACTAAAATTCCAATAGCAAACATGCTAGCACAGTGTAGAAATCACTATTATCTCCACTCCAAAGAAGGCAAGAGCTGCTCTGTCAGCTTGCAAGATAATGGTTACCACCTTCTTTATTCCAAAGAATAGTATACCAACACGATCTGCTGCTGCTATAACAGTTATCAGATAGCAGTAACTCAGTTCTTCACACATTATTGGATCATATCCACAGAAAATGTCCCAATCTCATGTCAATGGTAAACAATTAAGCCTTGAGAATGTACATGTTGTTAATGTGATGACTAGGTTTAAGTCAAGAAAAATGTCTCCCGTGATTCAAGTCCACTCTATAGCCCGAATTTGGTATCCTATAACTTCTTGCAATTTCCAGCACTAAAGCCCACAACAACATTGGTCAAAAAATTGGAGGAAATTCTAAAATAGCATCTCAAAAAATAGCTACTACACATCTTTAAGAACTGGCAGAAATTATGACATAAGTGCATTTAATTCCATGGAGAATATTTCAAAAAGTCACAATTGCCATGGCTCAGAATGATAACTTGAGGATACAAAAAGTCAGTCAATTTATTTTGACTTTCCCTTGTGCAGTATGGTACATGAAATGATGTTAACAGTTTAGTAAAGAAACTAATAGAAATTATAATATATTAAAATTTTTTAAAATTTTTGTTATTAATATATGATTTCTAAGTAATAAAAAATTGGACAGACAACATTCTTTTGAAAATTTATAATTGCCATCACAAAGAGTAACCAAAACTGCTTTATTGAAGTTAAAATATACATTTAAACAAGTGCCAAAATATAAGCATCATGATTGTTTACTATAGTTACTCTAAATTCTAGATTTTAATGAGTTATTATAATTAAATTACAAAATATAACCAAAAACTTAGTCTCTAAATTTCATTTCTAATATCAAAAACTTTGAAAAATATTTTTTTATAATAAAAATTTTTCAAAATAAATTTAACAGTTTATTAGAAACTATTAGTCTAAAATTTATCATGCAACATAAAAGTCCAGTAACAAAATATCTGATAGAAATAATCATGTAATATTTGAATTATTCTTATTGAAATATTGAATTCATTAGAAGAACTCATTAATATTGAATTCATTGCTAATGATTTCAATTATTAGGTAATTTGGTAAAATTTGTTAACATTACATTTTAAATGAAACATAAGAAGGAACAAAATGAAATAAGTCTAAAGATATAATATTAAACTCCATTGGCTATAGGCTGTCATATAATTATTCTCCTGATACAGTAAAATCTGTATAAATTGAAATTGCACCAGTACCAAATTATTAGTGATGCAACGAATAGTATATTCGGCCAGGAGTGTGGCCGAATAGCCAAATATTCAGCAAAACTATTCGGCTTGATTAATGCACGTACGAAAATTGGCACGCAAATCGCATTATGGCAAGGATCATGCACCCTGCTCTCTATTGGCCTGCTGTCACTACGCTTTGCCAATCGTTTTAATTCTTGACAGTTGTAGTGAACAGACAAGAACGTCATGGCAGTATGTGATAAGTGATGATATCAAATGTGGATAACAATGAAATGAGCTACACGTGTAAATAACGGAAAAAGAACAGAGAAGAACCGCGAAGTGAAAATGTGAAAATAAATATGAAATTGAGTTGATAACATAATTGAACAAGTCAAGGCAAAATTCACGGCCGTCAATGCCAAATAATTGTTCTCATATATTTCGGAAAGTTAAATGTTTGTAATGAAAGTCACTTAGCGTGCACGTGCCATTCAGGCTACCAAGCTGTCTGGAACTACAGTTATGATAATAATTTTGTACAATGAAACAAAAAAGTAAATTTAATTTTCAAGTTTATAATAAGGGATGATTTCATAAAAACGCTTTACAGATCATTAATTATTATTATTTTCACATTTTATGACCTAAGTTTTGATCTAATGTGCCCACACAGTAGAAATTTTCATACAAATGTTTTATCCTTTTCACCCCTTTAGGGTTGAATTTTGTAAAATCTTTTCTTAGCATGCCTAAACTTTACAAAAGGAACACACCCTCAAATTTTTAAGTTTCTAGCACCAGTAGTTTTGGCTCTGCGTTAATTATCCTATCAGGATTTGTTCTTTTATATACAAGTATATAGATGACTAAACTACATAATAAGTAGGTAATTTTCATATGATTTGTTACCTTTTTTTTGATCTCTTAAAAAAAATAACTTAGCTATATTACTTTTCCTTTGATCTTTTACATAAATAAGAAAGAAAATTGCACTTTTTTTAAATTGAAATGTATGTTCAGCATTAATAAAAGTTACCAAAATGATTAATTTACTGTGTTTTTGTTATTTCTTACTCCTTTTCTAGGTATTCAGTATTTGGCTGAATAGTGATTACATATTCGTTATTCGGCCAAATACCAAATAGTAACTGAATATTCGTTGCATCATAACAAATTATATTTTATGTTTTGACAGGTTTCCATTTTGAACAGATTTTAATATTTCTTTCTTTTATATTGTCCAAAAATTTTAACAAACTCTTGTATAGTAACAAATTTGCAAAACATGAAATCTACAAAAATACAAGGTCTGAGAGACCTTGTATTTTTGTATTACCAATTTTTGTAGTAGAGACCTATGTTTCTGTTTAGAGGTTATGTTATGTTGTTTGTACCAAAAGCCTTTTCCATTTCTACATGGGACAAGTTCTAGTTTACAGTAAACTTAACACAGAAAATCACTCTGTTTCAAAGAATTTTTTCTGTTTAGGCAGGTTTCCATTTTATTCTAGTTTCATTTTAGACAGATTTTACTGTATTAGTTTTTACAGAATTAATTGATAAATAACACCTACTTAACTGTTTGATTATTCTACAGAAAGAATCCAACTCTTTAATCAAATAGACATGTCACAGAGAAATGCTTCTTTTCTATTTTAAATAAAACAAATATATAGTATAATTACCCGTCCACCATATTGGAGTTTTGGAGGTGGTAAAACACGCCCTCGAACTTCCATCATTGTATTACTAATGGACAGTCCAAATTCTCTAACATAAGGATCATTATTAAAATCAGCTCTTCTAATCTATAAAACAACAAAAACAAATTAATGTCATTATTCTCTACATAAAAATAATTATTTAAAAATTCTTAAATTAGAAGTTGCTATATCAAATAATAAATGATAGTATAATATACTTATTGTTAAATATAGTAAAAAAAAAACCACACAAACAAACACCAACACACATGTATCTATAGTATATGTACAAGTCAGTCGTAAACTCGTGTGCCATTTTAAAAATTTATAACTTTATTAGTATTTGTGATAGAGAAATTATGTAGAATGTATTGGAAATAAAATCTATATTTTTTTTTTTTGTTTTATTGTATTTTATTAAGTTTCCACATGTCTGCCATCATTAATAATGCAAAGGGTAGTATGATTTTGTAGTTCTCTAAAAACATTTGCTAATTGATTTACAGTAATGCCTGAAATCACATTAGTTATTTTAGCTTTCAAGTCATCTGACGATCAAGGTTTGGTTGCATATTGTTTTTACATGTTCCCATAAAAAAAATCTAATGGAGTTAAGTCTGGCAAATGTCTCGTGGGGTGCTGGAAGTAGGTGTAGGATGGTCCGCAGTGGTGGCGGCGCCATGGGTGGAGGTAGTTGGTGCAGGTACCGGCGTAGTGGTTGGCTCGGTGGTGGTGCCCAAAGCAGTGGTGTCTGCAGGGCGTGGTTGACTGTCCGTGGAGTTAGAGTTACGCCTTCGTTGGCGCTGCCGTTGACGTCGTGGGCGGCGTGGGCGTCGAACCAGAGGTGGTGGAGAGTTGTCGCTTCCTGGGCTCGGCTGCTGGGAACGAGGGGACTGGTTGCTGGTGTCAGGAGGTGGCACTGCAGGGGTGGCGTCGGCATGAACAGGAGCAGAGGATCCTTGAGTAGGACTGGCCGCAGTAGCTGGAGGGCTCAACTGGTGGTTGCAAGAGCTGTCGTCAGTCTGGGCATTGTAGGTTGCATCCTGGGAGGCGAGGTAGGCTTCGTCTATGCCGTAGTCTTTTTGCCTCAGGCGTCGCCTCACGCCTGTGTGGATCTTACCACGTGGTTTGGGATCCCTGCAAGAGTGGTTTGGCGAGATCGATGGGAGTGCTTCTGCACAGCTGGTGGAGCGTGCCTGATGGAGTTTTATCTCCTTCAACTTCTCGGATCGGATGTGGCAGATCCGGCATTCAAAACTAAGGCGGCCCCCATGAACACGACGGAGGTGCCTAGAGAGGCCCCCGTGGTCCACATAATCCCGGTAGACAGGTAGGCAGGCCGGGCAGTGGTAGGGGGGACGAAGCGGCACGAGCAGAGTAACAGCCGCTGGGTTGCTAGAAGTAGCCATGGATCAAATGTGTAGGGGGGATAGACAGTTGAAAAGGGGTGGAAGTGCCTCCTGGGGCGCTAGGAGCAGCCAACCAAGGAGAGGCAGGAAGGGGAAGAAAGAACTACTGCTTGGGTTGGCCCAGGCAGTAGTGGAAGTATACGTTGCGTCGTGATCAGTGATCACGCCGCGACAGAAAAGTGGTTGCTGGTCAGGCAGCGAATAATGATCCACCTCTTCCAATCTCTAAAAGCATTTGTTACTAAATAATTTTACTTAAAACTAGGTACATTAAGCTTTCTTATCTTTTTACAGATTTTTTCTATCACAAATAATAATGTAGTTAAAATTTTTAAATTGCACATGGACTATATGGACACCCTGTATATATATATATATAATAATAACTATAGTTAATACATAAATCACACACACACACACAACAACTTCCAAATAGTGGACACCATTGGAACCAAGAAGTTTATATGTGACCATTATTAGGAGATTCATTATGGCTGCTACACTGTATTTTAACACCATCATCATATAGAGAAGTATACAATGGATTACAAAAACATCAAATTTGTATTAGGAATGTGAAAATACCAAAAGTATACATAGCATATGTAATTAAAATATATATACAGTACAGTATTTATCTTTTCAGCTGTAAAAATCTTATTTTAATTGTTATAGCAAACAAATTGGACAGGACACTTTAAATGGAACAAATGATTAAAATAGATAAAAATTATTATGACAAAACATAAACGTTGATTAATTATTAATTCATCAAAAACAACATGGGCAGAAGTAACAAAAAAAAAAATTGTTATGAACAGAAGAGTGGGCAAAGATCAGTTTCGACTGCAAGAGTTTGAATTCGAGCTAAGATGACAATTTGCTAGCCACTCCAAGAGATGGCAATGTATTCAGTATTCTTGCATTTATGATGTCACTTATAATCTATGCAACTAATAAAAATTGATATAGTGATTTGTCTGTTTTGTAGTTATCAAATAGGTTTAATTTTTCAAACATTATTGCATTCTCCAATAAATGATTTATTAAAAATTACATCTAAGCCATCACAAAGCTGTTAAGGTCATAAATGATGTCATAAATGTAAGAACATATACACATATATGAAAGACATCAGCTGTACACAAGGTGTTTAGCTGGCAGAAAAGAGGGTAAGGGAAAAAGGAGAAGAAAGAGGGAGAGGAGATAGACAGTAGAGAAAGGTAGGATCCCTCTGAACAGCATATGTATGGCTACTGTACCCTCTACATTTGATGTTGTCATGCAGTTTTTAGGCTGCAAGGCCATAGTCCCCCAAAGGGATTAAAAGAAAACCCGAGTGTAGTGAACACCAATAGTTGAGTGCCACCATGAATAGCTAAGTGTAGAAGTTAGTGTCAAGTGGCTGTTAGTAGGAAGACTTATATCTACTTAATACTAATAAAACTGAACATGAGTGCAAACCTTAATACTATTAACAGCTAGTCAGTGTGAAAACAAACGAACACAGCGACAAACTAGACGAGACAAACGGACTGACAGAAGACAAACGAGCAAGACCCCAATTTTATTTTATTTTTTATTTATATATTTATTTTATTTTTAAACATTAACTTACTTACTAACTAAACTAACCTACCATAACCTAGGACAAACCTAACCAGACAACTAAAGCTAATAACTCTAATCTAATTTAATCTAACCAGAAACCAAGCTAAGAATCTCTAACTTACAACTAGGACTAACTTAAAATAATCAAATTTAGACTGAAAAGAAGATGGAGAATAAGAATTAAAATACAAAGTTGAAAGGCAGCTATATACAGACAGTTGAAATAAAGCAAGGGAAAGCTAATTGCCATCCATACCCCTGGAGTGCGTGCTCTCAAGAGCCCCACTAAGGGATCGCATTGTGGATTGTCCCCAAGGTTAAATATATGCAGTTGTCGTATCCTGTAAGTAGCTGAGTGAGGGTGTAACTAGGGTAAAAGTGGCAAAGAATCGCAATAGTGTCAGCCTTGGGGATGAAAGTGTAGGTGAGCCTATCAGTGGTGTTATGGTCCCAGCTGTCTTGTCAGATAATAAAGATTTGCTTCTTGACATGATTGTTGATGTACAAGGTAAGAATGTAACTGAAAGTACTAGTGACTGAAGACTGCAGCTTGTTTGGCAAGATGATCAGCAGTCTCATTGTTGAGAAACCCTGCATGACCTGGGACCCATTGGAAATCTATTCTAATGTTGTCGTCTAAGTGTCTGAGAATTTGTTGTATGAGATGGACACGTTTTAAGTGGCTATCAGACTTCGCAATCCTGTGTAGAGCTACACTACGTCAGAATAAATGCGACAGTGTAAGTAGTGTCTTTTGTCCTTCCTACGCCTAATGTGAATTAAGCTCATGTAAATAGCTAAAGTTTCCACCTGTGCTATTGAGCAGTATTTACTGAGATGGAAGCAAGCATTGTGAAGCTCATGGCCTAAGTCGGAGTAAACTACAAAAGCAGCACCCACTTCGTCACCCATCTTGGAACCATCAGTGTAAATCCTAAACATGGGATAATCACCTAAATCTTCGAAGTAAATGTCAGATGCAAGCTGATGGGAGGGGTGGTAATCATAAGTTGGGAGGGTTTCTTTTTTCAGGAAGGTAAATGCAAGAACAGCAAATACTGTATCTTCTCACACTTTAAACTAACTGGCAAATTGCATTAGTAACAGGACCTTTCAACATACACAACATAACAATACCAGTACACTTGGAATTAAGAAATAATTACTAATGTTTTCATCCATTTATAACAGACATTTTCAGGCATATAACACAGAACAAAATGGCTACATTAAAATCAATCAATGTTTTTTTTTTTACAAAACATATTCAATCTTAATGTTACCAACCAAAATATCAATACATAGGTGAAACTGGAAGAGCATTAAAAATTAGAAGGGAACATTTATGTGCAATAACATATAATTATATCAATTCAGCAATTGCCGTGTATTGTAGTAGGAAAGGATGTGAGGTTTCACTAGATGAAAAAATTTTCAAAAAGGAAAAAATTATTATTAAAAAGAAACTATATGAATATTTGGAAATTATTACAATAAAAAATAATATGAATTTAAATGAAGGTATAGCCATTAGTGAGATTTGGCAACCACTACTACCTAATTGGTAGAGTCCATTGGAGGTCCCTTTCCCCATCCGTTTATAATACACTATGTTGTAATAATATAAATTTTGTTGATTCTCACACAGTGTAGTTTTATGTTTTTATGATTGTTTAAAATCTTTTAATTTCAACTTTTTTTGAAAAAAAGGTTTTCAAACCCAATTTTTATATCAGTTTTTTTTATTTATTTAATTTTTCAATATCAATTGAAGTATCAAGTGTACTTTTTTTTGTTTGTTTCTTCAGCATCATGAAGTGCATTAATTAGACACAAGGTGGTTTTTTTATTCTTTATTTATTCATTGGTCAATACACATTTCAGGTCTCTGTTACCCAAAATATATTTTCTTAAAAAGGGGGTGTAAGAATGAAAAATCGCCTTGTGTCTAATTAATGTACTTCATCGCACTGAAGAAACAAAGAAAATAGAAAGACATGGTTCAAATTTGTAAAAAAATTGTACTTTTATCAATGGTTTAGGCAATTTATGTTCTTTAATTTTTCTTAACATTATTTTATTTATCTATTTTATTTATTATTCTTTTTATAAATTTTATTTTATAAACGTTTTTTAATATATCAAGTTTAATTGTCAAGTTTAACACAGATTGGTATTAAATAATCGAATATGGTAAGTAAAAATTTTTGTAAATAATTTAGGAAAACTGTGTGTATAAAGTAATTTAATATTGATATTTGTTTTAATAAGATCTAAAGAAAGGATAAGAGAACCTGAAGAGCATTTCCGAATACAATAATAAAGCCCACATAATCAATTAATGTATTCCTGTGTGTTTGAAGTTACTAAAAAAAGCCAAAATTTAGGCTTAGTAAATTAACATTAATACGTATGATGATAAGTGGTAATTGACAACTTAACCAGATTAGTCTTCTCTAACAGATAAAGAATATTATTTGGGCTTTTTACAAACAGCCCTACACCCTTATTCTTCTTTTCAGCCAGTCTTTATTCAGTGCATATGGTCAAAACTCATCATATGAAAGCAAATTTGAACCAATTCTTTGATTTTGTTGCAAAACATTTCATATGTAATTAATTCTGTCAGAACATTGAATGCAGGACATTGTGTTTTCAAAAGGTTGGTTATGGACATCATCATCCATTACTTAGAGGTAAATATAATAGATTTAGAATGTCAGCTATTTAGGGAAATATAATATGTTCTGTTTGAAGGGTCTGAGGATTGCAAAAATGTCTATTAAGTAGAGGCATCTGCTATTCAGGAGTGTCTGTTAATGGAGGTACAGTTTTGCTGTGTATATATATATACAGTGAAACCTCCATTCTCAGCAACATTTTAACATTTTATATTATTATTATATTATTTTATATAACATTGTAACATTTTATATTAGACTTAAACTATAAATTTTACTATTAAGAAATTAATTGATTGTTTATTTTTTGATATAATATATATATATACTGTATATATGATAATAGTAAAATAATAGTAAAATTTATAGTTTAAGTCTAATATAAAATGTTACAATTATTATTTCTTTATTTATTTCCTTATTATTTACAGACAATGTCACTAGGCAATACTTAAAAAATAAAATTTAACTGTTTTATAAAAACACATTTTGTACATTATTATATAAATTATATAACATTAAATATATCATCAAAATTTATATTACATTAAAATATGTTTTTATTACTTACCAAATTATTTATTTCTCTCTCTCTATCAGGTGCTGAACGAGCAGTTGCCTGTAATTATTTTTAAAAGTATGATGAAAAATTATTTTTAAAAATATACTTATATATACTGTATATAAATAAAAACTTTATATTATGTATGATAGTCAACTCATGTTAATATGGATTGCTAGGGAAACAGTAGTTAGCTTGCTTTATCAAAAATTCATAAGGATTGATAGGCAATCAAAATCTCTATTTGATAAATTAATTCAAAATATTATAATTTAAAGTTAAATACAATTAAATTTATTTTTGAAAATAAATCAATGTTCTAAATGATTTTCTAATCAAACATAATGAGGAGGAGACAGTATTTGCCATTTAAGTGTGGAACAGTATTTTAGAGTGATTAAACAAAACAAAGTTAAAAAAATATCTGTTTTTTTTCTGTTGAAGATTGTTTGAAAAAGTATAAAATATTTTTTGGAGCCAAAAGAGTAAAAGGGAACCAAATTTGGTGCAAAGTAGCCAAACCTGTCATCACTGTATGCATCCCCAATGTCATCACATTTGCATGGGACTGCATCCGTTTAAAGGGGTGGATTTCCTTAAACTTTAATCCCTATTTTCTGAATACAGTAGAATGGTCTGCTGAAACCAGATGTTTGAATTGCTCTGCAATCAGAGGTTGAACCAATCTTTGCTTACTAGGAGAAGAAAAATCTATTTTACTCAAAATGGAGCATTTATAACTTTGATTTTTACTCTTTTTGACATGAATAATAAAATCATTATTGGAAATAGGATTATTTCTTGGAGGTTGTGAAAGTAATTTACAGTTTGGTTTAACTAATTCTGGTGTTTGTTTGCTTTCTTATGTGAAAAATAATGTAACTATGGCGTTTTATAAGAGTAATGGCAAAATTCACTTTAATTATATACAGTTAACTTGTGTTATTTTAAATTACATAATCACTAATACAATATTATAAGTAAACAACTTTATAATAAGAACAGATTTGTTGAGAGTTATTTAATAAATCAATACTTTTTCTTAATGTATTGTATGAAATTACAAATTACAAAATTAGTTCAAATAAAATAATATAAACATTAGTCATTTTTAATATATATACAGGTAGCCCTCGGTTTACGCCGCAGTTCTGTTCCAACAAAAGCCGGCGCAAAACGAACCCATATTTACAGTGAGGTATAGGGTTAGGTTCTACATAAGTGAAAAATCAGCAAATAATTTTGTTTATCAATACAATATAATACAAAATACAAATAAATTTAATTTTTTAAATGTATTTTATCATAAAATAAAGTGAAATGTTTTTATTAAAAAATTTTAGTTTCGGATCTCTTACATTTTTCAAAAAAAGTATCCATCTTTAATTGTTTACATTTTTGTTTTCTTTCATTGAAAATTTCGGAATATTGTCGAATATGATGCTCCTTTTTACATTTGCACTTTGCCTCCAATCATTGTCTAACTCACAAAGTTCATCCGTCAAACTTTCCTTAGTTGAAAGGATACGTTAACCCGACATAGAGCTACGGATGAGTGAAGACACTGATTGGTCGACCACCGGTCGGTATGAGGTCAGTTTGAGCGCGAAAATTCAAGGTGGCTAAGGAGAGATAAATATTGTCTGGCCAACGAGAAGTAGATTTGTCTCACTAATGATAGTTTGTGATCGCCGGAAGTGCTAATGCGTCGTAAGGTGTTTTCGTGAACGAATTGATACGGGATACATTCATTGGCGCTATGGATTCAGACACCATTTATTAGACTATTAAGTTTAATATCTTGACTCACGGGTACCTAAACGTTTAGTATTTTAATATTAACTTAATGCAAATGTATAATACCCAATAATATTAAACAGAAAAAAATAAATATATTCAATAAAAATCTTTGTTTTAACGAATGTACAATGTCGTGGCTCGGTAAATACGTCAACACTGAAATGAAAATGAGTCTAGCATGCGGAAAATCGGGAAATTACACTGCGAAACAGTGAATTGCGAAGCGGCATTATTGTGAATCGGCGTAAATTGAACCGGCGTAAACCGAGGGCTAACTGTATATATATATATATATAATAATAACTATAGTTATTATATATATAATAATAACTGTAACTAAATGGTAGTTGTTTCATAAATTTGAATTGCACAGTCTGATGCTGATATCAGAGTAGTTGACAATGTACCAGGTGTACTAGTTAATAATGCAGATTTATTTTTTATCAAAGAAAGCATGATCATTTCAAAAGAAACATCAAAAGTGCTTTGTTCAAAGTTATGTCCATAGCTAGCTACACATTTTCCCCAACTTTCAGGTAATTTGTTGATACTGTCTCAATAGAAGTTTTTTGTTTTGAGGCAAACCATTCAAAGACCCATTTTTCCACTTCTTTGTACATTTTGAACTGCTACTCAGAAAGTGCATGTGCCATTGATCAGAACAAGTAGAAATCAGAAGGAGCAAGGTCTGGTGAGTACAGCAGATGAGTTAATACTTTCCAGGCAAGATCTTTTAATGTGTCTTTAACTGGTTTTGAAGTGTGTGATGTTATGTTATGAAGCAAAATTACTTTGCCATGTCTTCTGGCCCATTCTGGTCATTTTATGATCAAAGCATGGTTCAAATTATTTGTTGTCAGTAATGATCAGTACTAATGGTTTCACCTAGTTTTAGAAGCTCATAATACACCATACGTTCCTGATCCCACCAAACACAAAGCATTGTCTTTCCAAAACAATTTGGCCTGGAAGTCAATGTTGATGGGTGACCTGGATCAACCCAAGATTTTGTGCATTTAGGATTCTCAAAATAAATCCATTTCTCATTGCCAGTCACAATTCAATGCAAAAAAGACTTTCTTTCATGCCACTGAAGAAACATTTTACTGGTGACTTCAGTTTTTCCATTTGTCTTTCATTCAGTTGATGTGGCACCCATTTTCCTTCTTTTAAAATCTTTTTAATTGCTTTGAATGATTGGAAATTGTTTCCTGAGCAACATTTAACCTTTCTGCAAGTTATTTTTGAGTTTGACACACATCTTCATCCAATAATGCTTGTAACTGTTGGTCTTCAAACTTTTCCAGTTGACCTGGACATTCTTTGCCTTTTACATCAAAATCATCCTGTTTAAAACATTTAAATCAATGTTCACAAGTATCTTGAGATGGGGCATGTTTACCACAAGCTTCCAAAAGTATACAATAACTTTCAGCATCATTTTTCTTCAAAATAAACTAATGAATTAAAACTTCCTGCAAATGCTCTTTTTTTTGGGACAAAATTTGACATATTTAAACATAAAAATATCTATGATGTTAACAGCTTCAGAAAATTTGATGTATGAAGTTTTAAAGCTTATTGTCAATTCAACAAAATGGTGTACATATCAATATATCTGTAATGCCATCTATTGAACAAAATCCACATTATTAACCAGTATACCTGGTAAACTTAAGTAGCTGCTTAAAGAACAATTTTTTTTGTTGTTTTACTACAAAACAGTATTGCCTAAAGCCAAGCAGCAACTATTCTTATTCAAAATTACAAAACTATCAATGACTAGCACATGATATAAACATTTGAAAAAGCATGCACATGCAAAGACAAAATAATTGTACATGCAAGCACAGATAACTGGATAATATACAAAAAAGTCTACCCTAAGCATTAAAATAAAATAAAAGTAAGGGAAGCAGAAAAATTGAAGTTCTACAGAAAACTGTTTGGCTTATGAACATAACTGATTATAATCTCTTCTATTTATAAAATTTTCATTCACCTATTCTGTTTATTATGTTCTATTTATGAAATTTTAATTTCATATCTCCAAAACTGAATTTATTATCAAATTTTTTAGCAATAAATTTGCAATGTTTTTATGGTTCAATAATTTTCATCCAATAAAAAATTTTCACAAATCTCTAACTTTGGAAAGAAATGAAATGCTACAGAATTAAAAGCTTAAAATACTTCAGTTATCAATTTTCTTCAATATGCATCAGATGAACATATTAATAATTGAAATAATATACTGTCTACATCAGGAGTCTCCAACTTTTTTGACTGTTGGCCCCTTGAAGGATTCCCAGATCTTTTATCAACCCTCTCTTCTTTTCTGCTAATAATAGATAATAATAATAATAATAATAAATAAATAAATCTGATAAGTCAGTATTAATGCATACACCATTTTCTTAGAAAAGAACTACTTATAGTGTAAAAATTTATAATGTCCTGAACTTTCATAAACACAACTAAAAATTTTTAATGAACACTTTTCATTTGATCCTCAATCAACCCCAAAATGCCTTATCAACCTGAGGTCGATACTAACCACTTTGGAGATCTACACTGACAAAACATGTAGAAAATATATTTCTTATAAAAATATATATGGCTAGTATTTTGTTCTTTATGTTTTTTATAACCATTCCAATGATAATAAATTCATATTCAATTTTTCAACAATACTTATCTTTTCATTAAATGTTTTTGAATGAAATAGTATTCACAAAATATGTTTGTTACTACATATTTTTTCTCAAATGCCTTAACAGAGAAAGGTGTTTCACATATAATCTCATATTTACATGAGAATTAAAACATTCATTTTAAAAAAATTGAAAAGCTGCAAAATTTAATTTTTGTAATATTGTGTTACTAAATTTATTTGTTTAAAAACAAATAAATTTAGTAACACAATATTACATTAGTAACAAATTTTGTTCTAAAATTTACCTTAATCATGGTTGAAGTCTGCATATCTGTTAATTTCTTAATACATCTTTGGCCTGCAACTATATTACAAACCTAAAAGAAAAAAAAAATAGCAAAAAATAATTATAAAAGTAATTGAAAATATTTTATAATAAGCATGTTTAAATGAAATATCAGAACAGCAAAAAATTGCAATGGGCCAATTTCAAACAATGGAAATCAATCCCATTCTTTGCTAATTGATTGATTTTCACTCAAACATCTTTTTAGTATTTAAGCTTTAATTAACAGAACAAAAGTTGTGTGTTATTTATTGGCTATTTTCAATACTACAATTCCAATATATTATGAAAATTTTACTCAACATTAATTTCAAATTTATTTTTGATTGTATACTGTGCTCTTTATTAGCATGATTAACTAAAACCTTTACTTTCACTCCACAAAAAAAATATAAAAAAAACTAATTTTAAAAAACTTATTTGATTATTTTAGCAATATAAATACTTTAAGCTAGTTAAAACACAGCTTGTCTGTGAGAACTGTAATGAAAATGACGTAATTAAATGCGATTTTGTTGTGTCTAGAAAATGGCATATAATGTACAATACACAAATGTATCCAATAATGTGAGAAATCTTACCATATTTTCATGGAATGACTGGCATGCCAGTCTATCTGGGGAGACCATGATATCAGATATTTCTGTATGGTAAAAACCAGTATGCTGGTTTAAGCAAGTTATACATCCCTCTCTAGAGGGCATATAAAAAAAATGAACGCGTTATATCACATAAAGACAAACAAGTTTTAATTCTAAAACTGTGAAATTGTTAGCATTACATCAAAAATTACAATTATATGTTTAATTTCTTCATTTTGTCTTCTTTCTAATGATGAAAGTGCTTTTTTAGGTTTATTTTATTGTAATATGATTTAAAAATAATCATATTAAATTTCAGAAACTGATGGTAAATTATCTTGACTTAGACACTGATTAACATCCACTTTGAATGAAATTTGAAAGAAAGGTGTTATTTTTAAGGTCATGGTAGATGGTCAGTACAGCCCAAACTGACTAACTTCTAATACTACTAATATCAATAAGCAATTAATTGTTTTATTGCACTGTAAACAAAAACAGTCTTCCTATATAATGTCATTATTTTATCGTAATCAAAAGATTTTATTGTAATGTTTTCTTCTGTCCTGAACATTTAATTAACAAATAATTTTGTTACATCTGATTAATTTTAATTTTTAGTTGCAGTTTAACTGGTATGCCAATAACCTCTGGAGTTTCCAGCATGCTAATCTCTCCTGGTTTATGTGGCATGCTGGTCATTCTGCAAAAATATGGTATTAGATAATTATAGATAAATATTAATCAACTATACATCAATTCACTATTTAAATTCAATCTAATATTCAACTCAATTCTAATTTAATTAATTTTTAGACTTAACTGCACAAAATAGTACTTAAAAAATAATAATAATAAATAATTCATAAGTTTAATAAATTCATTCATAAACTAACTTCTCAAGATAAGTAGCAGAATGATATATGAGCAGAACTGATACTTATGGTATAATATAAAACACACAAATTTTCCTCAACTGAATAGATCAAAGATAACTATTCCTTTTCCTTTGGTGTTCTGGAAAATGACATAATTTCAATTGTGACAATTATCTGAAAGAGCCATTGGTGGTGGTGGTGGTGGTGGTGGTGGTGGTGGTGGTAGTAGTAGTAGTAGTAGTACCTCCAATGCTAAGCAATGTACCGGACAGCAATTATCTTCCATTGATTTTGATCATGGACAAGGGCTTCAGCTTCCTGCCACATCATATTAAGCATCTTCAGATCTTGAAAAAAAATTCTGCACCAAGTATTCCTGGGGCATCCTGGGGCAGGGAAACCCATTTCATGGCTGTCTTAGGGATCCTATTGTTCTCCATACAAAAATGTGGCTGGCGAGTTGGACTCTTCTAAGGGCGACAATGTTATGAAGTTTGCACATCCCACTCCTTCGGAGAACCTCTTCATTGGTGATATAGTGATCGGAGGGTCGGTAACTCTTTAGTGCCTCGTTAGGATTGACACCACCATGTCTCGGGTGACAGAAGCTGTGGCGGTTTGGAAGTAGGTCATGCTAGTGGTTGCATTACTGAGCGATCTGATTCGGGATGGAGTGAGAGAGAGAGAGACAGCACATCGGAAGTGATTACACAGAGTAGGGTAGCAAAATAACATTTAATGGTAATCTAAGACATTGAATAAAGGAAACACGTTCCTCATTAAAGAGGGATAATTGGCTTTTGTGGTAAGAGAGAGAAAGTTCCCATTAAAACACGTGGTGATAGATACCTGATGTATCGGTCCTTTGATGATTTCCAGAATGGGTACTTTCTGTGATCTTTGGAGGAAAAAGTTCAGTTGGGCATATAATAATGTCAGTGTGCTGTTTAGGTAATCCAAGGCACTCACTAAGGTGTCGGTAATTAGGTAATCCAATCCAGGATCAAAAGATGAATGAGCAGGAGGCGATAGGCACAAAATTCTACTCGAGTAATGTTAATAGGCACAAAATTCCACTCAGGTAATGGTTGACAGTAGTTTAATAAAATGGCATTGTTAAAAATCTAGGTCAGGCCGAAAATAAACAAGGCTGAGTCTCACAATATGATCTAAATATTGGATCTTTAGGATTCGTCATGGGCATCTCTGTTGAAAGAAATTGAGCCTTCTATTGATGTTTCCCAATGTCTTCCAGGACTCACTAGCATAAACAGCTATTATAATCATAATAGAGGTGAACAGGTAAAATTTGGTTCTCAATGAGATTGATAGAGAGAATTAGATCTTGCCAGAAGACAGTCACTGCTTTTCCAATGTGACACTTCATGTCCATTTCTGCATTGCCATTTTTGGAAATAACCCAACTACCCAAGTAGGTAAATCTCTCCATCTACTCTAATCATTGTCCTCCAAAAATTACTCCCCACATTTGGCCAGTGTTACATACATGCATAATTTTCAATTTCACGGCATTTATCCTGAGGCCAATTTTGTGTGCCTCCCAACCCAATGCAGCCATGGCATGCTGTAGCATTGTCTCAATTTCCCCTAATAGGACTATTGAACACAAGACTGTTATTAATTAAACACTTGGCATTTTTCCTGTTTATTCAGCTCAACTGAATAAACAAGAAAAATGCCAAGTGTTTAATTAATAACACAGTCTTGTGTTCAATAGTCCATAAATACGAAAACACGGTTTCAGAAAACAAAAAAAAACAAAAACAAAAAATTCCCCTAATAGGGCGATATTGTCAGCAAAAACAAAATTTCTTAGACAGTCATGGTCAAACCAGTAGATGCTGGCCCCAATGTGCAAACTGGACACTTCTGCCAGCTACATGACTTAATCAAGGGCGATGAGGAAGAAGAAACGGGACAGGACAACCCTGTCTGACTCCTGTTGTAATTTCAAAGAAGTCCGTATGACCACCTTCAGTCTTGATGCAACAACTTGAATGCATGTATAAGGCCTTGAAAATAGTGACAAAGTTTGTCAGTACACCATATAATTGCAGAATCTGCCAGAGGGACTCACAGTGAACACTATCAAAACTCTTCTTGAAATCAATGAAATTGATGGCCAATGGGTGTTGATACTCAGTACATTGTTTGATGATATTTCGAAGGGAGAAGATCTACTCGCTGCATGATCTTCCTAGGCAAAACCTGGCTTGTTCCTCCCGCAAGTGCTGATTGAGGGCAATCCGCAGTCATTGAAGGAGGACTGCACAAAATTCCAGGTATATAAAAGAGGATGATATCTTGCCAGTTGCTACACTTGGAGATATCTCCTTTCTTAGAATTTATGACTATAACACCCCTTCTCCAATCCTCTGGGACCTCTCCACATTGCCAGCACCTGTTAAACAATAATGTTAGCTTTTCCAACATGGACTGTCCTCCATGCTTCAAAATCTCAGCCATAATTTTGTCCAAACTGGCTGCCCTACTATTCTTTAGGCTCTTAATTGTAAGCTCCACTTCCTCAAGGGTAATATCACCAGTATCCAATTGAAGTTCATCCTGTGCATCCTCAATATCAAAATCGTATATGGTTGGCTCTGCTTGATTAAATGTTTCCTGAAAATGTTCCATCCACCTCTTGTTCTGCTCATCTTGAGTGATCAGAAGCTTCCCATTTTTGTCTTTTATTGGAATGCTGAGTTATTCCTTATCCCAGTCAGTTCACTGACTATGTGGTACAGTTTACTGACTATGGATCTTGGAGTCATTCCGGTCAGAAGCCTTCTGCACTTCAGCACTCTTTCATTCTAACCATTTAAAAGGGTGCTGAAGCACAGGAGGCTTCCAACCAGAATGACTCCAAGAAAGCCATGCAGAAGTAAAATTCATAAATACATTATATATTAGACAAACGTAACTGATGTAACCTTAACTCTTCTATAACAATTTCAGAAACTGTGTTTTGATAATTTTATCAAGTATTTTAAAATTATTTCTTGTTTATATTTTAATTTTGTAAACAAATAGGCATTATCTCAAACTACAAATCATCATAAGTATTTCAAATGGATCAAGTGAGACTTTACATTATGTTCTCAGAAGAAATAGAGAAATTGCATATTATCTGATATTATTTCATTTATTCCATTCATAAATATATGCAATTTTGTGATATTATATTAACTTTAATAATAATAATTTAATTTTTTCAGTTAAAATAAAATTTTTACAGTAGAGCCTCAATTATCCAACCCCCTATCACCCGACCCCTCGGTTAACCGACCGTCCTAGTCGGCAAATTTCAAATGTCTGCTAGTGATGTGGCGCTACAATATTTGACTATGTCTTGGCTACTTTAATATTATTTTTACGTGTTTTAGCTGGCAACACTCATTCGACCATGAAAGGGAGCCAGTGTTTAAATGAGGCTTAACTTTCTAATTTTTAACGCTACAATAGCGATGATTATTATTTAAAAAATTTTTTGTTAGGCTTAACATAGATGAAAATTCAACGCAAAGTAGGTTAATAGCAATATACTAATATACTAATTACATGGGATATAATAATATACTACACTAATAATGGATTTTTTCATACTTTTCGGTTATCCGACCAACCCCAGTCCCCAATTAGGTCGGATAATCGAGGCTCTACTGTATTTCAACATTTCAAAAAATAATTTTACTTTAAAACATGTTGAAATAAAAATAAAATTTTTATTTCAACATGTTTTAAAGTAAAATTATTTTTCAATAAAGATAGCTTCAAAAAAACGTTAATAAATTGAATATTTTGGGATAAATTTATTTGATCCTTATCCTATTATATCATTATGTACTGTAAAACAATTTCATGCTCAATTCCATTTCATTGACACTTCATTTGTGGCACCACTTTGAACAATCCACAAACAAAATCTGAAATATGATTAATGTTTCTTCTCATCTAACCTCATTAAAACACCTGATCAATGACTTAGTTTTAACTTCATTGAATTCTTGGAAATATTTCTAAGATATTTTTTAGAAAGATGTCTTATAAATAAAAAGAAAATTTCATATACTTGCTTGTTTGTGACAGTGTTGTATCCATGAGACTTATGTAGACATTTGTGTTAGGATTAGGATAGAATCTTGTTTTCTTCCCTCTCAGCTTTTTTCAAGAAACATATCCAAATGATTGCCTTAAATAATCAGGCTATAACGTTGCTACTTTAATGATTAATTCTAAGTAATTTGCTACTAGAGGTAGACATTAGGTACAGTACCATCTCTTAACCAAATTAATAATCATCATTTTAATAATTTAATAAATAATTTAGAATCATCCAGAAGAAAACTGTACTTAGGCCGTGGGCATAGGAGTCATCCCCAGCCAGTGCTGTAATTAATTGCATAAAATTATATCTAAATTTAAACACATCTGGAAGTGAAGGCTAGCTTGAGGTTCCAAGTGGTACAACTGGCAAGCACACTGCATGGCAGGTGGAGGTTGAGGGGTTCAAGCCTGCCCCAGGTCAGTTCTTTTCTTCCAGATGATTCTAAATTATTTATTAAATTCTTAAAATTATAATTCTTAATTTAGTTAAGAAATGGCACCTAACATCTACCTCTAGTAGCAAATTACTTAGAATTAATCATTAAATTAGCAGAGTTATAGCATGATTATTAAAGGCAATCATTTGGTTATGTTTCTACATATAAATCAGGCTTTGCAATGTTTGATATACTTTTTTCAAAAAATTATTATTTTTTATTTATATACTTTCCTATAAACCTTATTAAACTTCACATTCAGTTACTTCCATTTTGAACATAATATATCAACAACACAATTTAATTATTGAGAATATATTATCTAAATAGCGATGTGGAAATGGCAAAAATTGGTTGTGATGTTATTACCATTTCATTGGTGTCTTTTCACTCAAATACTAGTAATTTAGTTTATCACTTCTGATGTAAAACCTAATGATATGGTAAATATTTTGCAAATATCTGAAAAATCTTATTAATATTTTTCCAATCTACTTTTGATGCTTCTTTAAAATTATTGTCTCTTGAAATACATTACTTTAAATTGCTTTACTAAGAATTACTTTCTTCAACATTCAAAAGAAATTTTTTAACATATTTCAAAAAATTGGATACTTAATTATATACCACTCACCAAATAAACCATCAACAGTTCATAACCAAACAGAAAAATTCTTGCTACGAACGTTTTTCATCTATATGTATGTTCGTAGCAAGAATTTTTCTGTTTGGTTATGAACTGGTGATGGTTTATTTGGTGAGTGGGATATGAAATTTTTTAACTGTCACAAATATTTCTGTAAAATATAATGGAAAAAACCTATGCAAAAATACATAAAACAAAATTTATTTTGTTAAGAGAAAATCAAAAGAAAATGACAAAATACCTTGACACTATGACAAAAGAAATATTCAATATGTATAGTCACCAATTAACAAAACCAGTTTTCACACCTGTTTAGATCAGATTGATACAGTAAGACATGCATCTTACTGTGTGTGTTGAATTGTCTATTCAACATATGGACAATCTGCCAATGGGAGCACCTTCTGGAAGGACTTTTTATGTGAAATTGACTCCTATTCAGTTGTTAGAGAAAATCCACAAAACTCCATATGGCCAGACCACTGGTCAGGTACAAACCTGAAACCAATTATTAGTCTTCACTGGTTTTATCCATTCAGCAACTGCTGGGATCCAAACCAGTCTGATGTTTACATAAGATAACTTGAACATTGATCCAAACATATCAGTTATTTTTACTTTCCTGGCTGTTATATTTAATATATAACAGAAGGAAAATATGGTAATCTTGGTGGTCAGAAAATTACCTCAAATAAAATATCAACAGAACACCATGAAATATATAAAACTTATGTCCAAAAAACCAATAACTGTGCATTTTCCCAAATATAAAGTGTTCCATCAAATTTTTCTTCCATTTGTCCATAGAAGAACCTTAGGTTCGAAAATGTTAGTGGCAACTTTATATTTAAGAAAACGCACTGTTATTGGTTTTTGGACGTAAGTTTTAATTACCTCAAAGATTTTTTATTTGAAATTTCAAAAATTTGAGAAATTAAAAACACTATGCTTTCATTTTCTTGTCTATCTGTGTATGTTTTCAATAATCTGATCAATATATATATATATACACACACACACACGATTTTAAATAACATATATATAATTATTTATATTTAAAATCATTACTAAAACATAATAAAGATAATAAACAGGGATTCAAATTATTACAATGTTAAAATATTTTAAAATTAATAATCTCAGCAAATAATTTTTTCTGGGGTTCAAATAGTGTATTTTAAAAAAATATCAAAATGATAAAAATTTATGCCTTTGAAGTTTTTATGCTTCTTAACAGAATAAAGCAAAGCAAAATTACAATATAAAAATTTTACTTACTTCTAAAGGTAAATAAGTATGCTTATGTTCTTGACCTACTTGAAGACAAGGTAAATGAGGGTATCTACAAAAATAAAATATTTTTCAAATACTTTTCTTTTTCTTTCTAGTAAGTTTTCTAAAGTTAATTTTTTATTAGCAAGATGAGACAAAAAAAATCTAGACTGTTTTTAAAGCATAATATTTTATCAAAAAAATTGAACCAACTATTAAATATATTCTTTTTAATTTTATTTACAATAGTATAGAATTAATGAATGTGATCATGACTGGTGAAACAACCGTAACTTTGTTTTGACTGACTCGCAACTCCTTTGGACAACCTTTGTGTCAATTTTTTAAAGTGAAAGTCTGATTCTTTGATTGTGTGGTATTTTTTGCTTAACAATCTTATATACCATTTAAGCTAATTATCTAAAGAAATCCTCAATTGACTGGCTTTGTGACAGATTTGATGGATTATGTTCTTTGGGAACAAAAGAAATGTTTTTGGCTTTGAGGAACTCCATGGTCAAATTTTGCATAGTGAGATGAAGCTTTGTCAGGCCAAAAGACAAAATTGTCATTTCGATGATGTTTGTTAAGAAAAGGAATCATAATTTTCTCTAAACATTTTGGCACTTGTCAGCATAAATTGCAAGGGATCTCTTCTTAAAAAATGTTTAAAAACACCTTCTGGTGAAATGAATATGTACATGATTTTGCTTCAAATTTCTTCTTAAATTTGTACTTTACTTTGGGGGTGCTTGATTTTCATTGCTTGCATAGTAAATTTCATTTCCTGGCATTTGCATCCCAGAGAGAAAAAAGTACTTCTTGTCATTCCAAGCAAATGTTTTGTTTCCAAAATTTCTTATGAGCCATCTGCATTGCTATATATGAGGGCAGTCTCTTTTTCAACATCCAATGGTCCATAAACAAAGACAAGTGTAAATTACAAAATGAATTTATTACCAAAAGTTAGGTACAAACGTGGTTACTTTTCAACATAATCACAGTGAAGATTAAGACATTTGTCATATCTGTCGATGAGTTTTTCCATCCCTTCTTCATAGAATGTTGCCACCAGTGAATGGAGATGGTCTTAATGACGTCGTTTTGATGACCGTCATTAGTCTCAAACCTCTGCTCTCCTAGTCACATTTTCAGTTCAGGAAAAAGGTGGAAGTCTTCACACATTAAAAAGTTCCAAACTGGGTGGAAGTCTTCACCACCTTGCATATAGCCTCGATTTAGCTCCAAGCAACTTCCACGTCTTTCCTGAACAGAAAAACTGACTAAGAGGGCAGAGATTTGAGACTAATGACAATCTTCAAAACAACGTTAGGACCCATCTCAAGTCATTGGTGGCAACATTCTATGAAGACGGGATGGAAAAGCTCATCCACAGATATGACAAATGCCTCAATCTTCACGATAATTATGTTGAAAAGTAACCATGTTTGTACCTAACTTTTGGTAATAAATTAATTTTGTTATTTACTCTTGTCTTTTTTTATGGACCATCAGAGGTTGAAAAAAAAAACAGCTTACATATGCAGGCCTGGGAGTGCTATTTCCCCTCTGAAAAAGTGAGTTGAAATACAGAAAAAGTGAATAAAAAAATGAGTGCAATAGTGACAAAACAAAGTGAAAACACGGAAGGAAAACTCAGCAAAACAGCAGTAAAAGTTATTATTTTCTTTTTATTCTGTTATGGTTAAACACATTTTAAAAATTTCTGCATATACTGTAATACAGTAGCCAATCGTTATATCGCACATTTTTGGTCCCCCAAATTTTAAAAGCATTTGAGTCAATAAATTTTAAATTACCAATTGCCACTGAATTTCTATTTGCAATGAAATACGATATTTTGTTTCTATTATTGTCCTTGAAACTACCACTGAAGGTGAATCAATAAATTCATCAAGATCTAAATATGCAGAACTTTAAGAACTTTTTCCTCACTTCTTGCATAAAAGCTTAAAAAACCAATATAATTGTTCTATTAATAATTAATGTCCAAGTTGACAAAAAATATATATTAAGGTGGATGGATCCATTATCATTTGTCTCCTTTTAATATAAAAGTTGTTTATTTATTAGTTTTGAGTACTGTCTCCTCATTTACAAGTTTCTGTGAATTCGAAATTTCACATCTTTATGTGAATTAACAGTATTGTGTCAATTCACATAAAGATGTGAAATTTTGAATTCACAGAATAACCTGTAAGGAAAAGATTTCTTAATTCTGAAAGGTAAGTTCTAAAATTTTTATACAGTTTTATACAGTACAGTAAAATTTTTATACAGTTTTATACAGTTTTGCTTTTTAAAAAATTTTTACTCTGTAATTTTATAAGTTTTGATGTTCTATTATATATTCAATATTTATTTTTTAAAATTTTCAATTACAGCATTTATAATTTTTATTGAAAAATATAAACTATACAAATTTCTAATAAGTGATTTATATAGTACTGTATAATAAAATCACAACTGATTTGTTTTTATATCGATAGTATTTGTCTTTCAATGTCATTGTTAAAGAAACAATAATGCTAAATGGGCGTTCATGGTATCGATGTTTACGTAAACATGAATTAATAAGATATAACCATGAATAAAATTGAGGATTGAAAAACTAAGCTTATTTGATATCAGAAACACTTAATGATGACAGAATAGAGATTCCATAACATGTATAATCTGTCTAGTAAAAGCCCAGAATTTTTATTATTTGGTTATATCGCGTTTTTTTTTCTTGTCTCCTGATAACGAGTGGCTACTGTATTTCCAGTAAACCATGAATACTTAAAAAGTCTTTGGCTTCTGTAAATAATCAGTCATGAAAGATGATGTTCTTTTATTAAGATTATTCTGATGTTTTCAGATTCCTTCTTTTTCACTTCCTCTTGCTTTTGAACACTTAACACTAATAAGCATCACACATGCTGCTCGTACTACATTCGTGTTTTTGCTGTTAATAGCCTTTCTCCAGTTTTTTTGTTTGCTGCTTCTAACAAAACTTGGCCTATCACATTGTATTTCTTTTTCTTCTACATTTTTCTGGTTTAAACTCAGCTGCAGTTCTATAATCTTGATGTTACAAACAGCTTTCTTTTGTTGTTCTTCAAAATGTTTCTTTTTTTCTGTTTCTCTTATTCTTTTAACTTCTTTTCATTTTCCAATTGTTCTTCATAATTTCTATGCACTGAGGGAGCTAATTTCAGTAGTCCTTTGTAATGGGTACAAGGTAGGGCTTTGGTCATACATGTTTAGTCCCTCCTTAACAATCAAAAGTGAATTAAGCATTTTTTCCAACACTGATGGAGAAAGTGCCCATGGTGAAGTTGACCCTCTCTCTCATGGGAATGCTGATTTCACTAATTTGGCTATACTGGGATATTTATCATTATCAGGAACTGTTTATTTTTTAATGCTTTGAGATGTGTAAATATTGATTTCAAAATAAAATAATAAATCTGAAATAAATATATTTCAAATAATATAAGTAAAATATTTTATTAATGATTTCATAAATAACAAGGAACTTTTTCCTGCAGATGAATAAAAATGACATCGTTACAACGTTATTAACCTTGTGAGAAAAATTTTCACAAGCTTTCCAGCTTGTGAAAATTTTTCTCACAAGCAATCAGGTGCTGTACTTTTTACAACACTTCGAATCTTTTAATTTATTTGGTAAATTTTATATATAAATATGAATTTACATTTTCGTTTACTTTTTTAGTCTCTCAATTAATGCACAATTATAATCAGCATAAGAGAAAAGTTTAAAAAATGGATATTTCACAAGTAATCACACATTTTATGAAAATAATACTTACTACATGGATTAATTTAATTATACTTGTAGTCAATTTAAACATAGATTTAAGAAGATATAGATGTGATTTAATGTTAACAATATGCTATGAAATCATTATTTAACTCAAGTTTATGAAATTATTTAAAGATAAATCAAGTAAAAAAATATTTTTGTAAACGACAACTCCATAACCTGATTGTTAATTAAAACCAAATAATCTGCCAAATTATTGGGCTATAACAAGGATAACTAAATGGTCAGAAACGAAATAATTTGTTTAGTTCTAGGATGTTACACTATTATCTTGTGTTAATTTTAATTATTATATTTTTTGAATTTAAAAGCAGCAGCAGTGTTGCCAGCTTGAGAGAGTAATCCCTCTGCCTAGTGTGTTTTCCCCTGCAAAAGGATTTTAGTGATTTTCTTAGAAAACAGCCAAAAACGCAGGGATGCTTAAAATACTCATTTTTAAACTCTGTACAAGGAAATGTAATTCAGAACAGGTAGATTTTGGTGAATAATGAAAATATGGCATGAGTACATAACTTTACTCAACACTGGCTTCTGAATTTGTAATGAGAGGGATTTTTTAAGTGCATAAAGGATATTTTTACATATGTGAAATAAATTTTTGTTTCCTATAACCTAACAACACTGAGCGGCAGTTGCAATTTTGAGTCCCGCTCAGGGCCGCATATTTTATTCCAGAAAATTCTATTCCAATAGTCTGATAATTCGGCAGATAGTTTGGCTTTAAAATTATTTTTGATTTGCCCTCATCTTAATTAAGCACGTGAAAATGACCAAAAAAGTGAGAAAAGTGAGAAAATGACCTGAAAAGTGAGAAAAGTGAGGATACTTCAGAAAAGTGAGCAACTCCAAGGCCTGACACTTTGATTAAAATTATTTCTAAAAATAAAATGCTTTTGAAATAGACTGTTAATTATGAAAAGCAGATTGAGATAACTTTTACCTTAACTTCATTTTATATTTATCTTGGAAATATTTGGAAACTGTACATTCAACTGTTTGTCCATTTTCTAACTGTAGAGGAAATCTAAAGATAAAAGTAAAATTACAAAGTATCCAATTGGAAAACTATTTAAAACTAAACAACAAACACTTACGACTGTAATTGAGCTGGACGTCTTGTAACATTACAAACTCTGTATTTTCTTTTCATGCTGCCACAATGTGTAATTTCAATTTTCAATCCTTTAATTTCTTTAGTAAACTTTACTCTCTGAGAATCTGTTAATGGTTTTCTTTGTTCTCCAATATCTCTAATATCTAAGACTTCACACATGAATTCTATCACTGGCTGAGATTTATAAAATGCAGTTGCAGAGACTATTTAAATTAAAAAATTAAATTAAAAATTATTTTGAAAAATTGTAGCAGTATAATTAAACAAATATTGTGTAGTATTAATACACAATCATATTGTTATAAATTCTGCAATTTAAAAATTACATAAATTATTATTTACTGTTATCTAACATTGTAAAGATATCACTAAAATGCTGGAATGTAACTACTTCATACAAAAGAAATTGAAAACTAAGAAAAAACTATCCTCATTTAAAAATATTGATTCAAGTTTTTTTTAATACTCCTCTACATTAACTTCTGATGAACATTATAAATTATTAAATTTATAATGTGCTTTTAGTTAAAATTAAATGAACAAAATGTCATTTGCACATATTAAAAATAAATTTCTTAGAGTAAAAGTGATTTTTTAATTTTGAAGAATGAAATTCTAGCTCTCTCTTTGTAGTGATTAAAAACTATACTTTATGTGGGTAAACCACAACCAAAATGTTAAAATTAATATAACTAGAGTTGGGAGATACATTAGTTTATAAATATGCACTATTTGTTTGACTTCTTATCATATATTTATAGTAAGTTAAATATATTAAATATACACTACTGACTGCAACATGATTATGTTATATTTATTAGAAAATATACTCTTAAAGCAACATAGATTAATTATTTTAAATTATAAAAAGATGTTCAAAAAGTCAAAATAATCTTTTGCACATTATAATGTTTTATTTAAACCAATATTATTTTTTCTTTAATAAATAAAATTTAATAAAAAAAATTAACCATGTTACATTAAAATATAGAATAATAATGTTACTTGTAGTTTGATAATTCATTTCTATTAAAAAATTTCTTTTTACTATTTACCATCAATATTTAGCATCATTTTCCATTGACTAGGACGAACACTCTGGTGGAAACCAAACCATACCTCTCTACCACCACCTAGTGGATGATAGTAACCATCTGGAGAAGAAAAAAATGAACGTCCAACAGGAGTGTACCTGTAAGACAAAAAAAATAGTTACTCTTATTTTAGAGATTACATAAAAATTTGATCTATAAAATTTTCACAGTATTTTTAGGATAAAATTAATATTTTGAAATGAACACACATATAAGAGGTTTATATATTTGTGAGATCCGCAGAATCATTTATTTTTAATTAATATAAAATTTTTAATATATTTTAAATTATCAAATATTGAGGAGAAAATTTTATTAAAGAAAGAATGTAACATCCATCATTTTCAGAGAGAAGGGAAGTCAAACTTCCTTTTAGATAGCCGACTTGAGGGATGAATCAAATTGGCTTTTGCACACGATGCAAGCCGCCAGAGAAGCAGTCTATAAATAGGAGCTTTTTCCTGCCACTCTGGGTAGTCCTCTGGATGAAGATTACCATACACTTGAGGTAATCCATCAAAAGAAGGTTACCATACGGAACTTAGGCAGTTATTCAGAGGAAGATTACCATATAATTCGGCATTTCATAAGAAGTTGCCATATAGTTTATGCTGTATGGCTACATAAGAAGTCAGAAATATTTTAATAGTGCGCACATAATTGTTATGATTCCCAACTTTCTCCCATATCCCGAACAGAAAGACAACTGAAGACAATAATGTGAAGGTACTATAATCTGTAGATTGATGTAAACTCTCTCTCACGTTATAGGTTGATTAAGATTAAGTTAGATAGTTCAGTGATTCCCAATTAGTTTTTCCTGTGTACCACTTCAAGAAAGAGCTCAAACTCGCGTACCCCTTATAGCAGAAATTCATATTAATCCATACTAATATTATAAATTTGAAGATAATTCTGTCTGTCTGTCTGTCACCTTTTTACGTCTAAACCGCAGAACAGATTTTAATAAAATTTTGCACAGAGATAGCTTACACATTGGAGATGGACATAGGCTACATTTTACTGAGAGAAAATATCTTACTCCCATGACAAAATTCGATATAATGCGGGTGAAGCTGTGAGTAGACAGCAAGTGATAAATAGAATAAGTTTTTTTTTTTACATTTATTACCTTTAAAATACAATTCTAATAATAATGAAAATAACATAAAGTTATTTAATTTTAATGTGACAAATTTGCACAATTTTCTTTGCACAACTTTGTAAAATCTGGTTGCTTTTTGGTCAGCTTCAGTCTCAAGTCATCTTCAAGTTGAAGTTGGTGACGATGTTTAGTTTTCATGTTTGTCATGGCCGAAAATCCGCTCTCACAGAAGTATGTTGTGCAAAATGGTAGAAAATATTTTATTGCTGCTTTGCTGACATGATGATAATGTTAACTGTACAATTTTTGTTTCTTGCACAAGAATTTCATTTAGGTATTGTCACAAATGCATTTTTTTAATGAAATTTTGAGAATATTTTTAGTTATAAATAAACGAATTTGTGCATTCCACACCATGTTGTAAATTGCTGAATTTTTGATGGTCCACCCATTATTTTTTTGATTGCTTCATCTCATGCATTTAAATTTTAAATCAACTGATTTTAGATTACCGCACATACCCCTTCATGCAATTCCGCGTACCCCCAGGGGTACGCATACCACTAATTGGGAACCATTGAGATAGTTGATTTCTCTCTTCGAGATAGGTTTAGAATATATCATTTGTAATCCCATTAATTGTATTATTTTGTTTGATTCAATTAAATTTTATTGTTATTGTTTTAACATGGTCTCATTCATGACTCAAATCTGCACCAACAGCCTTTCCACTTACTTGTGTCCCTCTCACTCTAAATTCCTCACGAACGTGTGATAGTCCATGAATTTGACTATCTGGTGTCAGGAAAAAGCAACTTCCAGGGTTCTTACAAACACCTGTTCATTAGAACAAAGTCTTAGGAAACCATCCTTCAATGACCACGGGCTAGTCTCATGATTAGTTGCCAAGTAAGTGGCATATGAGTGCTATCAAAACTCCATGCTCCTGGATAGCCCCTCACATATTTAATTTTGAATATTTAATATTCAAACTAATAGAAATTGCTTTAATAATTAAAAGAAACTGAGAATTTAATCTAGTATGTACTGTACTTTTCCTTTATTAGTTTCTTAATTAATGATATCAATTTATTATTTGCAAAACATTTTGTCATAGTTTATTTATATTTCATTTATTTATCACAATTGACAATAAAAAATAACTGAAAGTCAAATCTTTTGAATCTTTGCTAAAATAAAAAAAAACTACTATATTTTATGTTTTGAATAAAAATAAATATTTATATCTAAATTTACAAACCATAATTAGAAACATTTATTTTAAGATTAAATTATTTCCCTATTATCTGATACTTTTACAATCTCACAATTAAATTAGCCATCTTTTGTGAATTCTGATGTAATTACAAGATCAAAAAGTAAATATCAACAAAGAATTTGCATTATTATTCTGATCACAAAACACATCATCAATCATTAATTTGAGTATATCTCATTTTATGGATTTATTTGGGTTTTTCCAATATTAATTAACAATTGCTGTCACTTTTTATGTAGTAAGTTTTGTGCTATGATACAATAAGTAACCAGATATGTATGAGAATACAAAATAAATAAAACTTGGTTCAAGTGGTATCAAACTAGGAATTAAGTTTAAAGAATCATAGAGTTTTTCACTTTAACTAAATATGATCTGCCTTTACAGGAAATACTGTAGCCCGCAAGGAGAATTGTGTGCTTAGTTATTCAGAGCAATAACCATTTTTATATTTTAATTTTTTTACTTATGTTTTAAATCCTTTTTATTTATCCATTTATAATTATATTGTTATTTTACACATATATATGCAAAATAACAACTTATGCTTTGATAGAAGCTGCAAAACAAAAAAAAAATGCTTCAGACTATCCAGAAATTTACATGGTGGGAAGTCATAAGAAATAAAAATGATTAGAACAGCAGCCTGTTTGCAAAACTCTTGTTGTTTCACATCTATACAACCATCCCAAATAGGTATAAATATAGGCTGTATAAATTGTTGCATGTATTTTCACATCACCCAAATTCTCAGTGTATTGCATTGACTAACAATGTCACACTGCAGCAGGAGAGACCAATACAGACACACTGTTGAACTTCAAGCAGAGCAGTATTGTGGGATTCAAGAAGATGGTTTATCCTTCTGTAATATTGCTGCTTATTTTGGAAGAAATGCAATTATAAAACTGTAAATATAGTGTTAGTAGAAAGATTGTGTGCATTGATGTAAGGAACCTGCAGCAAAACATTGCACAAAAGAACAAGTAAGCTGGCACTTGTATCAAATGATGATAGAAAACCACAGATCCCATCCTAAGCATTAATGTATTAATGGAAAGGTGTTACACATCAGAAAATATTTGCAAACTGTGTTCACCAACATTTGTTGCAGAGGCAACCCTTCACTGGTAATCCATTGTTGCAATTCCCCTTGACTTTAACAATGTCAGACTCTGCAGTGGTAATAAGAACATTGACACTATACAGTGTTGTCGGACAAGCTATGGTTCAGTCAATGCATCATGACAATTGGATCCTTAAGGAGAATGTGTAAATAGTTTCTGGAAACATCAATTTCTGAATGTCATATAACTCTGGAATGGTGTGTTATGGCATGAGATGTATTAGGTTTAACTCACACTCCTGCTTCAAACATTACCAGAACCTTGATCAACCACTGGTACATAAAGGAGATTTGGGGCCGAAGTTCTCTGCCTTACTTGCAGATATACTTGATACCATCTTCCAACAAGATAATGACTAACCATATATGATTTACAAAGTTTTGCATTTTCTGGATGCAAGACATGTTACACTTCTTCTTTGAACTACGAGATCATCAGATTTATTGCACATTGAATTTGTCTGAAACATAATCACTTTGCAACTCACTCATTATACTACAACAATGTCTACTGAGAATGATCTTTGGGAATAGAACAAATATTGTTACAAATATTATAACTTTGTAATATCCTAATGCAGTTCAGAATATCCAACCATCTGAGAACTATAATTAATTTCTGATTCTTTTTTATAACTAGTTTTTTGTACTTAAATGCTGTTATAACTAATATTAAACTTCTGGATAGATCTCTCCACTGGCTGTATCTTTTAAATATTATTTTTATTTTTTAATCATTACTATTGTTGCAGTGGATTTTGTCTTACTTAGTTTATACCATGCCTAGTGGTGAAGTACTTTATGTCCTCCTATTAATATAGTTGAATATATGAGTGCTAATTTTTTTGCTCTCAGTAGGACTTATCACTCACTATTAAGGTAGTAGGTGGAATCACACACAGACTTTACTTGACAGACAAACACTTTATATTTATTGCAACAATGGTATGCATTTCAGGCATTAAGGCTGTCCCACTTCAGCTGTTCTTATTACAAAATGTAAATTACACACATCTAAAATACATAAAAATCCTATTACCAATAGTGAGTGAATAAAATTAAAACTATTTCATACATATGTAATTTATAACTGTAAAACCATATAGTTGGAGCAAATAATCTCTTAGCATTAATAGACTACCCAAGATATACAAGTTTTAGTTTATCTAAAAATACATTCATCTCAAATTACATTGTTTACATTTAGATTCTCAAATATAAAACATCTATAAATCCAATTCTTAGATAAAAGCCAAACATATAACAACCATTTTCTTTCAAAAGTGGTATCTAAAGGCAGATATTTATAAATTAACTAACCAACTGATCCTGACATGGAGAATGGATGCCATTCAGCAGCTACCCACTTTGGTTTGTTTGTGAGTCAATCTTTGATTCATTTCTCATAATAAACCTTATTGGCATGGCATACCTTATTTTATTTAAAATATATTATGTGTAAAATATAAAATAAAGAATATTAAAGTAATTGATCTTTAGTCATCTTTTTTATATACATATAACCAACATTAAAAAAAAAAATTATGTATCAGTAACACGCAAAAATACCTGTTAGAGACTACAGTAAAATTTCATAAAAAATGAAGCTTTATCTTAAAAGTGTTCTTTGTAGTTAGGAAATGGATGTTTTCAACATTTTTTTCTATTATTTTGTCAACTTTTTGTATTTATAAATGTCTTGAAGTTTTTGAAATTTCATTTTATTACATGATATGGTATTTAATATAATAAAATTAATAAATTGAATTAGAACAAACTAACTTACGTCATACTGGGTAAATGCCTCATAACAACATCCAGAGATTGTAATGTATCAATGGGTATGGTTCGTGATCGGCCTTCTAAAGCTTCTTCCAAAGAATATAAACTAACTTCTGCTAACCATTTAATGGCAACTCTGAAGACTCTATCTTTACCTTCACCTGGCAAAGTAACTTCTAACTCTACCTAGTTTTTTATATTAAAAAAAATATTTAAATTAGAATATAATTTAATTATATACTAAATAAATAAAATATATTTAAAGAAACAAAGGAAATTATCAATTAAACTTAAAGATATCAGTTTTATAACTTTATAGACAATCTAAGTTCATGTAGACATCATTAATGAAAGTATGTGTATTTTTACTTTAATACTTCTGTTTAATCAAATTGCAGATTTCTTCAAATTATTTGTAAATTTTCGTAAATTACTTTTTTATAATTTGAATAAATTTATATTGTGTGAGAATTTACAGTAACTGGAGTCCCCATCCAATACCTATTTAGTTGCATAGCCAATTTTAGAGATTTTGCACCTGGGTGAAGGAGGACACATTTACAAAACAGCCCATTTATTGACACAAAAGAAGCTTACAAAGTTTCTGCAATCTTAAAATTTCAATGTTGGCAATGTCTTCCAGGTCTTCCTCTCCTGAGATACAATCCAGAGACCTTCTTTGGAACCTAAGTCATAATTCCTTTGATGTCTTGTCAGCCCAGGTTGGTACTATTGATGTTTCTAGTGGTAGGATAGAGGTCAATCCATGAGAGGAAGATGGAGCCAGAGATAAGTGTAAAGACAATGGTCCTACGCTCATAACACTCAGAAGAAACTGTCATTCCTTGAAATTTAGGGTTTTTATTAATGTTATTCTCTGATCATTCATTCCAATTGGTTTCAGATTCCACATCCTTGCTATCTAATTGGTATCTTTTATCTCCAAGTGTAATGAGAGATCAATTTAGGTTACAGAAGAGTTGACATCTAAGCCAACTCTGCATTCTAATCCCAACTCAATGTACATCTGATGACTGACCGTTACGGTCAATCTTTGAACTTACATTGTTTATTCTTTCATGTGTTGCATTGTGTTTATTTTACAGAAGTTTCTATCTCTATGTTATTTTCTATTCAAAAATATTTTAAACCAAATTTTAGTGAAGGGTTTGGACCCTGCCCAGAGTCTCACAATTGTAATTAATTTTTAAAAATCTTTCTTAATATTCAAGGAACTAGTAAACAACAATTCCATGTCTATATTATCGTAGACAACACCAAATCTTATTCTAAGAGTCCACAAAAACTTTACTTCTGAAACATTGAAGACAGAGTTAACACTAAATAATAATTAACAGCTGAATGGTATCTAGACATTGGTTGACTGTACCATGGTTTAAGATGCGTTGCAAAGACCCCATTGTCTATTTCTGAATGCCATCTAAATGAACCTTGACAAATAATTGACTATTACTTTCTTCATCGTTACTCCCCTCTTTCAGAAGTTGTTCAGCCAATTGAGTTATTCATTTGTGACATCAGAAAAAAATCCGATAAGGTCACCAGCTATCTTCTGAAAGCTTTAATTAAGCTCTCTCTTAAATCTGTGGCTTCAGGTAGCATAAAATCTTATGGCTGTCAACAACCATTGTTCAGCAGTAAATGACAATCATTTTCCATTTCAATGTTTAATTTAGCCAATACAATTTAAAATATGAACAAATCCAGATTTAGAAATTTATACTAAATTTGGATTTCATCTTCAGAATAGATTTTTAAGGAATTATTCCAATATCGTGTTAACGCTCTCCCTTCATAATTATTGAGATAAATATTTTTAAGTATTTTAGTTTTATTTCATTTTTTATTTCTATAAAACGATTTTTGTAATTACTAAAACTGTCTTGTTTGTTTTAATAGGATGTTCTGATGAGAAAATTATAACAATGACGACCCCAAAATGCATTAATATTTTATAACTGGCATGATATTTGAATTGTAAATAAAAGCATCTGGTTTAATTGTAGTCGTAAATCTTCACTCGTTTTAAATGTTCCAGTTCTGATATTCAAACAAATTTAAAGTATTTAATTATATTACACTGCTGGCCATTAAAAATGCTATACCAGGAAGGAAAGCAAATAGCAAAATTATATTTATTATACACATACAGTATAATGGAAGGAAGACATGATTAAATTGACAGGTAATTTTGAGGTACAGAGCATGCAGAAATCAGTACCCAAAACAACTACCTCTGGTAGCAATAACAGCTGTAATGCAGCTGGGTATCGAGTCAAAGAGAATTTGGATAACAGGTATGGGTACAGCAGTCCATACAGTTACAACTCTATGCCAGAGTTCATCTACTGTACTGGCTGTAGAGTAGTGGCGTGCCAGTTTCTCGACAACCACTGACCAGATGTTCTCAATTGGTGACAGATCTAGAGAATGTGCTGACCAGGGCAACAATTGAATACCCTCTGTATTCAGGAAGGTCAGGATAGCATGGGCAACATGCAGTCATGCATTGTCCTGCTGAAAGATAGTGTGATGGAGGCCTCAAAGATAGGGCACAGAAACAAGCCTTAACATCAGATGTAATGGCAACTGTCCAAATTATCAGCTATGCAAACAAGAGTACAATCACCACGATGTTACTGGTATATATTTAAATAAAAAAAATCAGCAATTACTATTGAACCAGCAATAATTGTCGTCTAAACAAACGCTTTCTTCCGTTTTAAACAGTCATCATCAGGTTTTAATGTAAACTGACTTTGAATACTACAACGATGCAAGGACCTGGCCAACATCAAATATCTCAAACAACTGGAGATATTTAAAGTGTTTAAGAGGGGTACAATGATTAATTTTAAAGATATAGACACATCAGCAGCGGCCTGGAGTGCTACCTTTGATATACAATAGATCATCGTCAAGTTTGTTTTTTACATATTTTATACGAACTTAATATTTTAAAACTGGAATCCAGCTGGAAGACAAATTTTTTAAACGCATCACTGAACATGTGTATATCTTTTCATGATTTTAAATTTTTGGAATTTTACATTTTTTTGCTAACATTCCATTTACATCAAAACCTGACAATGACCGTTTAAAACGGAAGAAAACGTTTGTTTAGACGACAATTATTGCTGATTTAATGGTAATTGCTGATTTTTTATTCAAACAAAAGATGACCAGGATGTGTGCCCAATGGCACCCCATACCATCACTCCAGATGCTGGACCTGCATGACAATGACAAATGAAAACTGGCAATGCTTGTTCCCCTCGGTGCCTCTACACATGGATATGGCCTTCATGATGCTGTACACAGATGCCGTGACGCTACTCCTGCATCCATATTTGTTGAAGCCTTTCTCTATGCCTTTCTCTGCTGCAGAGTCAAGGAAAGCCACAGCAATGGTTGCCATGCTGATAATTTGTGGTGCTACAGACACTTACTGTTCCAAAAATGACCCAAGTTCCTGACTCAGGGTGTGTGATGTGGCTGTACGATCCCACAAGGCCATGCAAACAAGATGTCTGTTCTCTCAGGCATTAGTGACCAGGAGCTTCTGAGATCCTGCACAGAGTTCTGTATGTCCCTCCTGGATCCATCAATTCCATATTCTCATGACAGTTACAAGTTCATATCCAACACGAGCAGCAATAGTGTGGAACGATAAACTGTAATGATAAATAGTGTGAACGATAATCCCTGTAGGCTATGCTTCTACCACGATCAAACTCTGACATGTACTGGTAGGCAATCCACCTTCTTACACAAGGCATAACAAACCTTTACACAAGCAACCAATGTAGGAATGCAATTTACATATGAGAAACCAGCTTTACAATCTTCCCTTTTATACAGACTGTAGGTGGCCTTACTCCTATCTGCTTGCAAGCATGCATTGAAATGCTAACCATTTGCATATCCCAGTATGTTGTATTATCCATGTAAATTTCTAGTTTGTTGTGTGCCACCTTCATGGTGTAGCAATTTTAATGGCCAACAGTGTATTTTCAATCCAAGCAATTAATTAATGAATAATTTTGTTGATTCATCCCATTTACAACATTTATCAAAAGAATGATATCCATTTTTATCTAAACTTTGCAACAAATGAAACATTGTGACGACTTCCACTTGAATTAAAATGCCATCTAAACCTGCTGTTGAGTGAGTCTAGAAAGGTCAAATAACCAGCTTCTGAATGCTGTTTAAACTGTGGCAAGCAAGAAACATCATCTCCGCAATGAAATTTTTCTGAACTGAAGTCTAGACAATCTCTAAACCATTGTCAACATCTAAACATTGTTTCTAAAATTGGCCCTGAAAGTTTAAGTGTTCAAAAGAATGTAACTTTAATTAATCAAAAGTTATCTTCAGTATATCCTGAAAAAAAAATCCTAACAATTTATTAAAGACTTGACTTTGATTCAAGAGAATAAACAAACAAATGATAAATTTACTGAAATGAAGGTAATCAGAGTCAAAAGATGAACTGGATTTATCATGTTCTATTTGTCATATTACAAAACTATACTCTAAGTTTTATAAAAGAAACTAACTTATTAAGAATTAAAATTTCATTTCTATTTTTTAAAATAAAAACAAAATTTATTTGTATTCATAACCAAGGATCAAAAGTCAGAGTTAGAAACTAACCAATACACATTCATGTACTACAAGTAAAGTGAATAGTAATTAGTTAAATCCTAACTCTAGCTGTTAATCCTTGTTTGTGGATATAACTATAAGAGAGAAACTCATCCATGTACTGCACTGAGCTGCACTTGTACTGGAGCTCATTCATGAAGGGACTGAGTCTATGGCATAGGCACTGTATGTATGCATAGCCAGTCTTCTTCTTGCACTATCTGTTTTTGTAAAAAATCAATTCCTAATAATTCAATAATGTTCTGCAACTTTTTCATTTACTTTTTTATGTATTATTCATAGTTCTTTAGATGGAATGCTAAATTCCAATTTTACCACTAGAGGCACTGACATCAGTCTCATCCAGTAGTGCATGGTTACTTTACTATACCAATACATCACTAATACCTCACTTTCACAGCTCTAGCTATACATGTTCAAAACTTAAGGATGGATGACATTTGTAAATGAATGGAAACTGTAGATGAATACACACAAATATATAAGAACTATATTACTCAATATCTAACATAGTGTAATACATAACAATTTGTAGGATTTTACAAATTAAAGCAATAAAAGCAAGTCTTTTACGAAAAAGATACATACAGCAGTTGACATAGGTGGAAAATACATGGAAAGTGTTTACCAATACCAAGTATGGCTGATGGATGACTTTCTAAGGCAGCAGACGTAATGGCCACCCAATACCAAATGCTCCTCACCTAGGTGCCTCAAAATGGTATGGACAGACACAGGAGCTTGTAATGATGATGCCACTTGTGTCCAGATGGCAGACAATGATATGGTCAATATAGAACCAGGCAGATCTCTCAGCTAGTGGTCTGCATGGGTTTCCTGGAGCCTGGGTGGTGCATGGAACTGAGAACTCTCTCTCCTCCACTGATCTCAACACCTCCTCAGTGTTATCAAAACAGCCCAGGTAGCAAGTTATTTGGTGAGATAACCATCCAGCTTCTTTGAACCTAATCCCATCTCAAACTCACTTAGTTGTTTATGTCACAATCGAAGACCACATGAAGGCATCAATAGTGATACAGCATCCCTCTGCAACAGGTAAACTAAACAGGATGCCTTTGTGCACTTTTTTATATGCCAACTGGGATGCAGTTTAACACCCTTTGCTGTCATTGCACAATGAGCCATCACACTATAAGTCTAATCATTTCTATATCTGCTTGAAACTTATCTGCATGCCAAGTCTCACAGCGATATGACAACTCCTTCTTGGTGTGCTAATTTTTATGGCAATGAGAGTATTTTATTGCCATTTTAACATATTATGCAATTTTTTTCAAGTTTTAAATTAAAATAAACTTTTGAGTAAAAAGAAAACAAAAATTATGTAATTTGTTATTAATTAAAATATATAAAATATGAAAATTATATATATCAAATGCAAACAAAATGTTAACAGTTAACTATGGGTGAATACAGAAAAAAATGACAGGATAACACCATCATAATAAAAATTATTTTGTTATCTCTGGATTTTTAAAACCAAAAAGTTGCCTAGTCATGATATATAAAAGCATTTGTGAAGTGCAAAGCACATTTTTACTTCACTGGTACAGTAAACACCAGTAACTGTCACATTTCAACTATGGAAAACTGTCATGTTTGCCAGTAGATGGACATTGCACTCACCAAAGTTAGTTTTGTGTGAATTCACAGTCATATTTATCATGGACCAGTCTTGAAGCTAGTTCCAATAGGCTTGTGACATGTTTTCTGACATTCAAGAAATACTGTATGTAGATTTAGTGGCATGCCAAGAGGAGAGAGTGGAAACCCTAGGGTTACTGGCATGCCAGTTAAACTCTGACTAAAAAATAAAATTAATCAGATCTAACAAAACTAGTTGTTAAATAAATGTTAAAGAAAGCATTCTTCCAAGTACAATAAAATAATAACATTATAATTTGACTGACTAGAGAAAGCTTTTGTTTACAGATCAATTAAACAATTAGTGGCTTATTGACATTAGTAGTAGTAGTAGTAGTAGTAGTTAATGTGGATTGCACTGGCAATCTAAGCTGATCTTGAAAGATAACACCTTCCTCTAAAATTTAAAACAAAGAGGTTGTTAATTGGTATAATTTGAGGTAATTTATGCTAGTTTGAGAAACATGTTTATTTTTGTGTTTTTGAATCAAATTACAATAAAATAAACAAAAAAAAAACAAACTTTCAGCATTCCGGGAATATTGTCTTCTTTCTAATGAAGTAAAAAATGCAGAAATTAAACATATAATCATAGTTTTTGATGTAATGCTGAGTTTCACAATTTTAGAATAAATCCACACAACATAACTCATTCATTTTTTTCATGTGCTCTCTGTCAAGGGTTTGTATAATCTCACTTAAACTGGCATAAAACCAGTTTTTACCATACAGAAATATTTGATTTCATGGTCTACCCAGATAGACTGACATACAATTCAATTTGCACAAATATGGTACTAAGATACTTAACACTTCTGTCAGACCCCAACTGCAATTACAATAGTTACAATGCCTTGAGACACTCACTTTCATGCAAGACAGTGCATTGCCACATATCAGACACCATGAGTAACATTTCTGCAGCATTTTACTAATAACAGAGTAATTAGTCTTGCATTTCTTACCATCTGGCACCACCTAGTTCTTCAGATCTTACTTTCGTGTGATTTTTGGTTTTAGGAACATGATATTGATACTTAAAAAGTATGGTTTATTGAGAACATGTTGAAAATTTGGCAGGCAAGGCTGACAAATTTGCAACATGTTCTCAATAAACCACACTTTTGAAACACAGTATTACACTGCACATGAGAAGCATCACAGATGATCAAGTACAGTCAGTTGTTGAACACACTGTTCATTACCTCAGGTTTCAAATTTTCAGAATGAGGACCACATTGAGCAGTATCCCCTACATCAATAAGATCTCTGTATAGCAAGAATGTCTTGTAAAAATAAAATATTTATTGTTTGCATTGCCAAAAATGCCATAGAGTTTAAAGTATTAAATTTTTTTTCACAGAAATATGCCATAGAATTTAAAGTATTAAATTTTTTTTCACAGAAATATCATCATACCAAATATGGTTGCATTTAGTACTTTAGATCACTTTCTAATTATAACTACTACATAAAAATCCTCTAAAGTTCTTCTTAATTATATTATTTTATGTATAAATGCAAGTTTCAGAAGTCTACTGTTCTGTTATGCTATTTATAAGATGTTTTCAATATAAAAATGCATAAACAAATTTAAGATATCTTCATAATACAATTTTTATTTATAATACTCATGGGAAATTCAAATAAGAATATAGTACATACTGCATATATTGAAAAATATTTCTAGAAAAATAAATTTTTTGCTTTAAAATATTTTATATATTTAAAATATAATAATTTTTTCCTTATAATTTTATATTTTTATTCTAAGTTTTATAAAAGAAACTAACTTATTAAGAATTAAAATTTCATTTCTATTTTTTAAAATAAAAACAAAATTTATTTGTATTCATAACCAAGGATCAAAAGTCAGAGTTAGAAACTAACCAATACACATTCATGTACTACAAGTAAAGTGAATAGTAATTAGTTAAATCCTAACTCTAGCTGTTAATCCTTGTTTGTGGATATAACTATAAGAGAGAAACTCATCCATGTACTGCACTGAGCTGCACTTGTACTGGAGCTCATTCATGAAGGGACTGAGTCTATGGCATAGGCACTGTATGTATGCATAGCCAGTCTTCTTCTTGCACTATCTGTTTTTGTAAAAAATCAATTCCTAATAATTCAATAATGTTCTGCAACTTTTTCATTTACTTTTTTATGTATTATTCATAGTTCTTTAGATGGAATGCTAAATTCCAATTTTACCACTAGAGGCACTGACATCAGTCTCATCCAGTAGTGCATGGTTACTTTACTATACCAATACATCACTAATACCTCACTTTCACAGCTCTAGCTATACATGTTCAAAACTTAAGGATGGATGACATTTGTAAATGAATGGAAACTGTAGATGAATACACACAAATATATAAGAACTATATTACTCAATATCTAACATAGTGTAATACATAACAATTTGTAGGATTTTACAAATTAAAGCAATAAAAGCAAGTCTTTTACGAAAAAGATACATACAGCAGTTGACATAGGTGGAAAATACATGGAAAGTGTTTACCAATACCAAGTATGGCTGATGGATGACTTTCTAAGGCAGCAGACGTAATGGCCACCCAATACCAAATGCTCCTCACCTAGGTGCCTCAAAATGGTATGGACAGACACAGGAGCTTGTAATGATGATGCCACTTGTGTCCAGATGGCAGACAATGATATGGTCAATATAGAACCAGGCAGATCTCTCAGCTAGTGGTCTGCATGGGTTTCCTGGAGCCTGGGTGGTGCATGGAACTGAGAACTCTCTCTCCTCCACTGATCTCAACACCTCCTCAGTGTTATCAAAACAGCCCAGGTAGCAAGTTATTTGGTGAGATAACCATCCAGCTTCTTTGAACCTAATCCCATCTCAAACTCACTTAGTTGTTTATGTCACAATCGAAGACCACATGAAGGCATCAATAGTGATACAGCATCCCTCTGCAACAGGTAAACTAAACAGGATGCCTTTGTGCACTTTTTTATATGCCAACTGGGATGCAGTTTAACACCCTTTGCTGTCATTGCACAATGAGCCATCACACTATAAGTCTAATCATTTCTATATCTGCTTGAAACTTATCTGCATGCCAAGTCTCACAGCGATATGACAACTCCTTCTTGGTGTGCTAATTTTTATGGCAATGAGAGTATTTTATTGCCATTTTAACATATTATGCAATTTTTTTCAAGTTTTAAATTAAAATAAACTTTTGAGTAAAAAGAAAACAAAAATTATGTAATTTGTTATTAATTAAAATATATAAAATATGAAAATTATATATATCAAATGCAAACAAAATGTTAACAGTTAACTATGGGTGAATACAGAAAAAAATGACAGGATAACACCATCATAATAAAAATTATTTTGTTATCTCTGGATTTTTAAAACCAAAAAGTTGCCTAGTCATGATATATAAAAGCATTTGTGAAGTGCAAAGCACATTTTTACTTCACTGGTACAGTAAACACCAGTAACTGTCACATTTCAACTATGGAAAACTGTCATGTTTGCCAGTAGATGGACATTGCACTCACCAAAGTTAGTTTTGTGTGAATTCACAGTCATATTTATCATGGACCAGTCTTGAAGCTAGTTCCAATAGGCTTGTGACATGTTTTCTGACATTCAAGAAATACTGTATGTAGATTTAGTGGCATGCCAAGAGGAGAGAGTGGAAACCCTAGGGTTACTGGCATGCCAGTTAAACTCTGACTAAAAAATAAAATTAATCAGATCTAACAAAACTAGTTGTTAAATAAATGTTAAAGAAAGCATTCTTCCAAGTACAATAAAATAATAACATTATAATTTGACTGACTAGAGAAAGCTTTTGTTTACAGATCAATTAAACAATTAGTGGCTTATTGACATTAGTAGTAGTAGTAGTAGTAGTAGTTAATGTGGATTGCACTGGCAATCTAAGCTGATCTTGAAAGATAACACCTTCCTCTAAAATTTAAAACAAAGAGGTTGTTAATTGGTATAATTTGAGGTAATTTATGCTAGTTTGAGAAACATGTTTATTTTTGTGTTTTTGAATCAAATTACAATAAAATAAACAAAAAAAAAACAAACTTTCAGCATTCCGGGAATATTGTCTTCTTTCTAATGAAGTAAAAAATGCAGAAATTAAACATATAATCATAGTTTTTGATGTAATGCTGAGTTTCACAATTTTAGAATAAATCCACACAACATAACTCATTCATTTTTTTCATGTGCTCTCTGTCAAGGGTTTGTATAATCTCACTTAAACTGGCATAAAACCAGTTTTTACCATACAGAAATATTTGATTTCATGGTCTACCCAGATAGACTGACATACAATTCAATTTGCACAAATATGGTACTAAGATACTTAACACTTCTGTCAGACCCCAACTGCAATTACAATAGTTACAATGCCTTGAGACACTCACTTTCATGCAAGACAGTGCATTGCCACATATCAGACACCATGAGTAACATTTCTGCAGCATTTTACTAATAACAGAGTAATTAGTCTTGCATTTCTTACCATCTGGCACCACCTAGTTCTTCAGATCTTACTTTCGTGTGATTTTTGGTTTTAGGAACATGATATTGATACTTAAAAAGTATGGTTTATTGAGAACATGTTGAAAATTTGGCAGGCAAGGCTGACAAATTTGCAACATGTTCTCAATAAACCACACTTTTGAAACACAGTATTACACTGCACATGAGAAGCATCACAGATGATCAAGTACAGTCAGTTGTTGAACACACTGTTCATTACCTCAGGTTTCAAATTTTCAGAATGAGGACCACATTGAGCAGTATCCCCTACATCAATAAGATCTCTGTATAGCAAGAATGTCTTGTAAAAATAAAATATTTATTGTTTGCATTGCCAAAAATGGTCAGCTTCAG